GCTGTCCTCCCCCCACCCAGCCGTCCTCCCCACACCCAGCCGTCCTCCCCACACCCAGCTGTCCTCCCCTCACCCAGCCGTCCTCCCCTCACCCAGTCCTCCCCTCACCCAGCCGTCCTCCCCTCACCCACCCGTCCTCCCCTCACCCAGTCCTCCCCTCACCCAGCTGTCCTCCCCTCACCCAGCCGTCCTCCCCTCACCCAGCCGTCCTCCCCTCACCCAGCCGTCCTCCGCACACCCAGCAGTCCTCCCCTCACCCAGCTATCCTCCCCACACCCAGCAGTCCTCCCCTCACCCAGCTGTCCTCCCCACACCCAGCTGTCCTCCCTGCCGGTGGGCAGAGCCTGAGTCGATCAAACTGGTGGGAAAGCCCGGCATTGGCTCCTCTCGTCTTCCCCAGGGAAGGCGTGAGCCAGAGCGAATTCCGAGAGGGCGGCCCCCGCACTCGCCTCCGCACCCGCCCAGGGTGTTGCTCAGTTCGGGGTGACCGGATGACATGGATCTCGTGACGGGAAGAGCTGATGACAATCTGGATGTCTTATTTATCATGAGCCCCTCTCCAGCCAGCCCGTGCGCTGGGTCTCTGCTGGTAGGATCGGGTCCACCTTTCACTGGTGTTATCATAAACCCATGTGCAGATGACGAAACGGAGGTAGAGAGGTTAAATGGTGTGCCCCCGGTCACGCTGTCAGAGAGTGGCAACACTGGGGGTCTTTGAAGCTATGTTTTGTGCCCTCCCCCCAGATGAGGCTAAAAAACTCAGAGCAAGTCTAAAGCTAAAGCCATGTTGAACCGATGTAAATTGTTGGAATATCAGAATGTCACATTTAAAGCACATGGGGAAATATTAATAATTTTGCAAACTCCAGTGTTTTGTGTGTTTCTGGGCCATGCACACTTCGCCTCCATGACAGAGAAGTAGGAGGCGAGGGGCCACTGCACCCTCCAAGTTGGGCAGACAGGAGCCAGCGGACGCTCCCATGCTTTGGCAGGTCGGAGGGGCCCGAGGGAGGCAAGGGAATGTTGGTTTGTGTCCACACCCCCCTCTGCCCACCAATGGACCGGGGCCTGCAGCTGCTGGCGGATGTTGGAAGAGCTCCCAAGGTGGAGATGTCACAGCTGTCCCCAGCCACTTCCCACCGCCCACCCCAGCGGGCTACAGACTCCCCTGGGGGAATGGTGCTGAGCAAACCCCCACCGTCTGCCTCAGACATATGGTGACGTGATTATGCTAAAAACCAGTAACAACTAAAACAGCAACCCCTCAGCACCCAGGGCCAAGTTCCCCAGACACCCACTTCGGGTCCCAGACTGTCTGGCCTCTGATTTCCCACGGCCTGGGTGCTCATTCACGCCATCGTCCATTCAACATTCATTTACTGAATGTCCGTCATATGCCATGTGCTCTACGAGGCCCTGGGGACAGCGCTGAGGATGGGACAGACTTGGTTCCTGCCCTCGACGGTCTTTCAGTCGAGCGCCACAAAGTCCGCAGAGGGGAGAGCAAAGGGGGCTGCAGAATCCAACTCCGGGAGCCTTGGCCAGTTCTGTGGGATCGGGGACGGGCTCTGAGGAGCGGACAAAGAAGCTGAGGCCTGAGTAGGAGTTTGGTGGCTGGAAGAGAGCCTTGAGCAGAGGCAGAAGGGTGGACGAAGATCAGAGGCTGGGGGGAGCCTGTGGATTAAGAACCAGAAACAAACTTCAGCAGGGCTGGAGCCTCTCCTGGGAGGGCGAGACAAGGGTCGGAAGTGGGGTCGGGCCCAGCGCTGGGTTTCTTCCCGGCACTTCCCGCCACCTGACACACCTTCCCCGCACTGGCCGGTCTCAGCCGGGCCCCACCCACCGGCACGGGGCCCCAAGGGCGGTTCCTGCGGCTGCCTGTGCCCACGCTGTCCGGGTCACCAGAGCGTCTGCAGGACCTAACTGGTGCCTGGCACGCAGTGGGACCTCAAGGCATACGCTGGTTGATGGATGGGTGGATGGATGGGTCGTGGAGGGCTTACCGATCACGTCAAGGAGTGGAGAGCGCTGGCCGGATCCACGCGTCTCTACTGAGGCACCGGCCTCCCCGCCCTGTCTCACGCCCTCCCGCTATCTGCAGCGCGGCGGCTCCCAGAGGATGAGCCGTGACGGCCCCGTCTGTGCTATGGTGCGAGCAATGGAGGAGTCAGACCCTGTGATCTTATTTCTAAGAAATGACACAATACACCTGTTTTGGAAGAAGTAGGTGAGTCTGCCTTTTTCCTTTGGGGTTTACGCTACGTACTTGGAAGGGACCAAAAAAAAAAAAAAGAAAAGAAAGAAAAGAGAAGAGGAGAGCGTCAGTTTGGGAGGGCAGCGTGTGCGAGGCGTGTCAGGGCGTGCACCCGAGCACAGGGCTCCCGTGTTCAGACAATCAAAGGCGGCCATCGATCACCTTCGCCCTGCGGGGAAGAAACCTGGCTAGCAGAAAAAGCCAAATCCTGGAATACGATTTTACTTTCGAGAAAACAAAATAAAAACATTGCAACTGGGAAGAACAATGCCATCTCTGCTGTCACGGAGTTTCAGTTCTAGCAGGGGAGGGAGACACTAAACGACGAATGTCACGCCGGTCATCAGTACCGTCCAGGAAGGCGGTGTGCAGGGAGGCAGCAGGCACCAGGAAGCAGGCAGGCCTGAGCAGCCCAGAGCAGCATGGGTGTCCTCTGGAAAGAGGAGACGCCTAAGCTAAGATCTGGATGGGGCGGAGGTGGGGGACAAGAGGAGCATCCTGGCACCCCGGTTACTGGGAGTGAAGGGCCTGGAAGAATTAGGAGCGGCTTGCAGGTGCCCAGGGGACAGTGGGGACATTCAGGGAACAGGAGGTGCAGGGAGCAGGCTGGGCGAGATGGAGCTGGAAGACATGAGCTCTGCTCCAGGGGCCTCCTTGCCTGAGACCTTCTTTCTTGGGGCCCCTGAGGTTTGGAAAGCCTGTGGCCGAACTGAACTGAAGCCGCCCTAGGAAGTGGCTCTGGAGAGGCGGCTTGGGCAGGACAGAAGCTGGTGCCCGGGGCCTCCTCCAGCACCTCCCTGGAGCGTTCCCAGGCAGCCCAGCAGCAGGGTCAGGTCAAGGCTGCCGTCTCCCACCCCAGCTGATCGCTCCAGACGGCGCCAGGAAGGCTGCCGCTTGATCGGCTCCGGATGGGGAAAGCACAGAGGTCAGTACATGGAAAGTACATAGGCTTAGACCTTTTGCATCTCATTAACTTGAGACCAAATTATTTCACGCTGTAACATCTCCGAAATCAGCGAGCACCCCAGTGTGACCAGCAGTGCCTCCCCTGGCGCCACACAAAGTGAGGGTGTCTTTTCCACCTGTGGCAACGCAGGTTTCACCAAACACAGTGTCTGGAGACCTTGGTCTGGTTTCTTGCTCATGGAACAGACTGGAAGCAAACAGGCTGGAAGCCTTCTAAGGTGCAAAAGAGTTTCAATTGTGAAAAGCCCTGACACTTTCATAGACCCAGGAGAGCATTCCTGCCTGGACTGTTAGGGAAAGAAACAAACATTTCTATATGGTTTAAGCTATTGCAATTTGGATCTCTGTTACACACAGCTGAACCTATAAGCTGATCTCAGATGTGTGAATTTTGTAACTTTTGTTTGACTGAAAGGCTTCTACATTCTCTTCTCCCTATTGCCAAAGAACTTCTAACAAAACTTCTGGCTCTCACAGGTTCTTTGACTTAAAATTACATGTGGAACAATTAAAACATTTCTCCAAAGAAGATATACAATGACCAATAAGCACATGAAAAGATGCTCTACATCATTAGCCATTACGGAAATGCAAACAAAACCACCAGGAGATACACTTCACATCCATGAGGATGGCAGCTATCAAAAAACAGAAAACAAGTGCTGGCAAGGATGAGGGGTTGGAACCCTTATGCACTGCTGGTGACAAAGTAAAACAGTACAGTGGTGACTTAAACATTTAAAGATAATTTGCCATATGATCCTGCAATTGCACTCTGGGTACACACCCCAAAGAACTGAAAGCAGGGCTCAAACAGACTGTTTCTCTAGACCCTGGAACCAGGTGGCACACCTGCTGCTGAATCTGCCCTTCAAGATGAGTACAGCTTGGATCCTGTAGACGTTTGACCTTGAAAAAGCTTTTGGAAGAGATGTGAGCTCAGCAGGACCCCGTCACTCCCAATCACCTTACCTGTCTGGCCACTTGAGGTTTGCAACCCCAGAAAAAGTGAGGGAAGACTTTAGGTGAGAATTCATGTTGCCTTCTTTTGTTAGCTTCGCACCCCTGCTTTTGCAGGGACAGAGCTGGTGGGACTCAGGTGAGCCATGGGGGAAAGTGCTGCTCACCAAGTATCGTTGGAGTATTAGGATGAGCTGGGTTATGCTGCAGTGACAAAGTTAACGCCCTAAATCTCAGTGGTTTTCCGTAAAGGCTTATTACTTGCTGATTTGCTCACACTACACGACCTTCATGGGTCACAGGGGCCCAGGCTAGTGGTGGTCCCACAATTGGCATGTCCCCGGTCACTTCACAGGGTCACTTCTCATGGTGCATTGGCTAGGACCAGGCATGGGGTCGGGACACAGAGGGAGCTCTGAGGCTATTTCCCCCTCTGTACCTGCTGTGGCTCTGGACTACTCATGGCTCCCAGGGCTGGGCTGGAGATAGGAGGGAGCCACCCGGCCCAGGGATGTCCAGAGAGCCCTTTTGTCAACTGATACTGGTTTCAGGGACCAAGAAAAAGGGGAGAGCTCACTAAACATGACCCACACTGAGATGGCTGTTTAACGATGATGTTCCCCCAGCCTGTTTTGGGGACCTCCACCCTACCCTCTGGTGGGAGGCCATCTACCCAGGACTGGGGAGCTGCAGAAAGAGCCGCCCTCATGGTGATGGGTGCACACCGCTCAGCCCAGGCTGTCAGGGTGTCCTTCGTCCTCTGGGAGGGAAGGGCGGGGAGAGGGGAGGGGAGGACATCAGCAGGACAGACACTCAGGACTCGGAGCTGCACAGATCTGAGCTTTATTTACAAACTTGCCACAGAATCCCCTTACCTTCCACCCAGAAGTCCCCTGTGTGGACTCCAGGCAGGAGACAGGCCCGGGCCACCCACCTGCCCAACCTAGGAGAGCAGGGCCCGAGCCACAGCCAGCTGAGACCAGGTGGGAGCTTCCATGTAGGGAGTGCTCTGCCAGAGGGCAGAGGCTAGAGGTGGCAGGAGTGCTGTCTCTCCAAGTGGTCAGTCCTCAGGGCTTCTGCCGTGGGGCATGGGGCCAGGAGACCTGGGCCTCTGACCAGATAGGGATTGGGGGTGGGACCCGCACTGGCAAAGCCTGGATGGAGAATGGGGAAGTGTCAGGGGGGCCACTGGGGAGCAGGTCGTCCCCAGTTCCAGCCTCACCCCCTTCTGAATCTCGCAGGCAGGGTCACCTTCCTGGCTAGAGCAGGGCAGGTGGAAGGAGTGGGAGAGGCCTGAGGGATACTCTGGGTCTGGGCCGGGGTCAGGCCCTTGTAGAGATGCTCCCAGGCTCCTCACTCCCCACCCCAATCCTACTGGGGACTCTGCAGTCCCCAGGCCTGCTCCAAAGTATCTGTCCCTCCTAGGGGTGCCCCAGGCTGGGTCACGACTTAAACCATACCACTTGGGTAGGGCTGGTGGCTGACAGCTTCCAGTGCCGGGCTTGGGGGGAGACAGAAGACCAGAGGTCCAGACTCTTGGGCGCTGCTGAGCTTTTTTCGGACTTCGGAGGGAGGATGTCCCAGCCCAGCAGGCAGTGCTGCGGACAGCAGGGGTTAAAGGCATCAGTCTGTGGGGCTGTGTCCCCATCAGGGTGGAGGTGCCCCCTGAGCAGGCAGACGGCAAGGCCTGTGTCCGCCCACTAGATCACCCGGGCCTCCCGTCTTCTCTGCAGATCCAGCCACACTCAGGGCCCTGGGAGCTGAGACGGGAGGAGGGCAGGACGGTGACGCTGACGTCCTGTGTGTGGGCTCTGTCTAAGCACCCACACGACAGGTTACTCTCCTGAACTGCCCCACCTCGCCCCTGACAGCCCAAGGACGGCACCGTGACACCCACTTCACAGATCCCAGCTGCCTTCTCCTTTCCCAGCCCCAGCTGCCCCACACTCGGCTGGGGTGTAGGCCATCGCTGGCCCCGCCCCAACCCGCAGACATCTCTATGGCAGGCACTACGGCAGCATGAAGACCTGGGTTCAAATCCTAGCTCCCGCACCAAGGCATGTCCCCCCACCACCCGTCCCAGTCCCACGCGCAGAGCGCGGATCACAGCGCCTGATTCCTGGCTGCTGTGGGGCTCCGTGAGGGGACCCTCCTAAGGACTGGCCTGCAGCACACGAGCGCTTGATAAACGGGGCCCTTTGTGTCACGGCAGCGTGCATGTGGACACGCCCTAGAAGCCACGGGGTGGGGGCGTCCCTCCTGCCTCAGGGACCAAGCCCCCTGTGGGTGACAGAAGAGGCCTGGCTGCACGCCAAAGCCCAGCTTGGCTCTGCGGCCCTCCCCAGGCCTCAGGATCCATGTGGGGACAGCCCTGCCCCACCCGGCCCCGCGCTGCTCACCCGGGGCAGGGCCAGCGTGTCGGAGGCATCGAAGCTCTTCCGCCGGCGGATGTGGTACCGGTGCGGGGGGTCCAGGATGGACAGCGGGATGCTCACCCTGCGCAGGGGTGCAGACGGGGACCACTGAGACACCTCCCTGCTGCTGGGGGTCCCAGCCCTAGGCCCACCTTCCCCTAGCTCAAAACCAGCAGGACACAGGCTCTGTCCCCCAGGTGTCCTAACATTCTAGCCACTCACCTGACCTCCACCGGGTCCGCCAGGGTCTCAGGGCCCCGCTGGTCCCGCGGTGTCCTGCACAGGCGGCAGGGGGTGCTGGGATCCAAAGGCACGACAAACAGGCGCCGGCTGACCCGGTAACAGTACACGCCTGCGAGGCCCACAAGCAGCAGCAAGTCCCCCCGTGCCGAGGAACCCAGATCCCCGGGTCCCCAGCCACCCCCAACCACATAGGCCCACTGGCCCCTCTCCTCCAGGGCCTGGAGCCCACCCCCGGGGGGCTAGTGGTGGTGGCATCACACAGGGCAGCTCCTAGTGCCCCAACCCTGAGGCCAGGCCTCAGCTCACCCCCACCACCCATCAGGGCCCAGCCCACCTGTCCAGACCCCAGGCCTCCCTCCCAGAGACCCCAACACCTCGCATGCCTCCCCAGGCACCCACACTTCCATCAGGACTGCTCTGGGGCAGGGCAGGACGTGCGTGGGGCTCAGGGCCAGGGTGGCGCAGAGCTGGGCTACTCCACGGCCTGCCGAGCGCTCACACTCACACTCGTGGTCTTTCTCCACGCTGCCGGCTTTGGGCAGGCCCAGGAGCTGGTGTCTGTGAGGGCAAGGGGGTGAGTGGCCAGGGTGACAGAGTCCCTCAGCCACCCCAACCACTCTTACCCGTCCACACTCACTCGGGGTGGCTGCAAATACACTCCTCCTTATTGGCTTCCCGGAACTCCTGCAACTTCGAGAAGAAGGCCTCAGGCTGGCCGGTGACGGGAGAGCTGTTGTCCAGAGACTCTGATGTGGGCAAAGCACCGGGAAGCGGATGGGAAGTAGGCTGGGAGCTGTTGTGTGGCCACTGGCCAAGGCTTAGGGGACACTCAGCCCCGGCACCCTAGGCCACCTGCTTCGCCACCTACTGTGCCTTGTACAGACCAGGAGGGCACCTCCTCTCACTGTGACTGCTGGTTTGTTTCAGTGTTTGTCCACCCCGAGGCACAGCCAACCATCCATGTAGGAAATACTCACAGAGCCTTTACGACAGGCCAGGCACGATTTACGTGCAGGGGAAAGAACGGTGAACTAGACAAAGCCCCTAGCCCCATGAGGCTACATAATGCTTTGGTTTCTGGTTCTTTTTACAGATAGGGTCTTATGCTGTCACCCAGACTGGAGTACAGTGGCGTGACCACAACTCACTATAACCTCAAACTCCTGGGTTCAAACAATCCTCCTGCCTCAGCCTCCCAAGTAGCTGGGACTATAGGTGCACACCATCACAGCTGGCTAATTTTTTTTTTTTTATCTTTTATAGAGACAGGGGTCTTGCCATATTGCCCAGACTGGTCTCAAATTCCTGGCCTTAAACAATCCTCCTGCCTCTGCCTGCCCAAGTGCTGGGATTACAGGTATGAGCCACCTCGTCTAGTGAGGCTTACATTCTAACGTGGCAACGGATGAACAAGTCACCAACGACATCTGTGATATAATACTGAATGGTGACATTTGCTGGGAAACAAGAGAGCAGGGTCAGAGCCAAGTGCAGCAGGGCAATAGTGCCAGAGGAGGCCTCCCTGAGGAGGTGACACCAAGCAGAGACCTGATGGAACCACAAAGACATCCCAGTTAGGACATCACAGGCAGATGGAAGAGCAAGTGCAAAGGCCCTGGGGCAGGTGTGCAGCTGACACGTTTAGGAACAGGCAGGGGGTGAAAATGGCTGGAAGGCAGTGAGGCATGAAGGCAGAGGAGATGAGGTTAGGAAGCCTGCAGAGAGATTGGGGACGAGGAGTGACACAATCAGGCTAGCCATGCATTCTCACAGGATTCTTCCTCTCGCTGCCGCAAGGTGAATGGAAGCAGGGGCACCGAGTGGGAGGCTACCACAGGCTCCCTAGGGGAAAGAAGTACTGACAGTGCCCAACTTATGATGGCATAAAAGCAATCACGTTTAACAGAACATCAATAAATTTCATGAGGCAGTCAACACTTCATAATAAAACAGGCTTTGTGTCAGGTGATTCTGCCCAACTGAGGGCTAGCTAAGTGTTCTGAGCATGTGTAAGGTAGGCCCAGCTAAGCTACAACGTTCGGTAGGTCAGGGGCATTAAATGCGTTTTGACTTACAATATTTTCAACTTACGATAGGTTTATCAGGACATAGCCCTAGCATGAGGCAAGGAGCATCCGTTGTCTAATTCTAGAAATATGTAAAAGGCAGGGTCAGCCGGCTGTGCTAATGGACAGGATGAGGAATATCTGAAGAGGAGAGAACTCAATCAAGATCGATCCCAAGGTTAAGGCCTGACACTTTCAGTCCGTGGGTTGTCATTCACAAGGGAGGAGCAAAGCCAGTGGGGCAGAAATCAGGACCTTGATTCTGGACGTGAGGTTAACATAGGACATGGTGACGCGGAGAAGCCAGCTGGACATACGAGTCTGGAATGCAGAGGAGAGGTGTGGGCGAGAGAGAAAATGGGGACAGGGAGAGCACTGGGGCGATCATGGAGGGAGGAGGGAAGACAGAGAGGGAGGATTCAGAAGACTGGGCCTGGGCCTGGGGGTCAGAGGTCAGAACAAGGAAGAGCCTGGGAAGGAGCAGCCCAGGAGGTGGGAGGACCAGGGTCATGTGTGGCCCAAAGCCAAGGGGAGAGTTTTAGGGAGGAGGGAACCACCCTTGTGTCCCTTCCTGCTCAGGGCCAAGGAAGGTGCAGCCTGAGGGCTGAGCTGCAGAGTTAGTGGAGACCATAGGGAATACCGGGTTAAGTGACAAGGAGAAACTGAAGGTAGGAGTCTAGACAGCCCTTTTGAGGAGGAATTTTGTTATCAAGAAGAACAGGCCGGGCGTGGTGGCTCACACCTGTAATCCTAGCACTCTGGGAGGCCGAGGTGGGCGGATTGCTCGAGGTCAGGAGTTTGAAACCAGCCTGAGCAAGAGCGAGACCCCATCTCTACTATAAATAGAAAGAAATTAATTGGCCAACTAATATATATATATATACAAAAAAAAAAATTAGCCGGGCATGGTGGCCCATGCCTGTAGTCCCAGCTACTTAGGAGGCTGAGGCAGCAGGATTGCTTGAGCCCAGGAGTTTGAGGTTGCTGTGAGCTAGGCTGACGCCATGGCACTCACTCTAGCCAGGGCAACAAAGCGAGACTCTGTCTCAAAAAAAAAAAAAAAAAGAAGAACAAAGAAGGCTGTGTAATTCCAGCAATTTGGGAGGCTGAGCCCGGAGAATCACTTGAGGCCAGGAGTTTGAGACCAGCCTGGGCAACACAGTAAGACCCTATCTCTACAAAAGATAAAAATATTAGCCAGGCGTGGTGGCATGTGCCTGTAGTCCCAGCTACTGAGGAGGCTAAGGCAGGAGGGTTGCCTGGGCCCAGGCATTCAAGGCTCCAGGGAGTTATTATGACGCCACTGCACTGCAGCCTGGGACAGACTGCAGCCTGTCTCATACATTTGTTTGTTCATTCATACGCTCACACATACACACATACGCTCACACATACACACATACGCTCACACATACACACATACACACATACGCTCACACATACACACATACGCTCACACATACATACATTCACACATACATACACTCACACATACATACATTCACGCATACACTCACACATACATACACTCACACATACATACATACATAAGGCAGAGACAATGGGCAGTAACTGGCAGCACACGCGGGACGAAGGCAGGAAAGCTGCAGATAAGGAGGAGACCGCAGTGCTCGCCCTCGCCGCCTGCAGCCTTCGAATGCGCGACGGCGCCTGCCCTGTGAGATCAGTGCCAGGAGTGAAGGAGTCCATGGGAACAAGCAAGAGAGTAAAGACGTCACAGGTCACACATGGGGCCAACAGAGGCCAGATCACACCCGTAAGTCTGGATAAGGATTCCGGATTCTACGGAAAGCCCCTAGGGAGGTTTGACCAGAGGAGTGACACGATCTGATTCCCATGCTTAAAAGGTCATCCAGGGTGCTGTGTCAGAAACGGGCAGTGTACCCCCACGTTCACAGCAGCACTGTTCCCAACAGCCAAGAGACGGAACGCACCGTGTCCGTCAGCGCATACATGGATAAACAAATGTGCTCTCTCTGTATAATGGAACATCATTCAGCCTTAAAAAGGAAGGGGACTCTGACACACAGTGCAACCTTGATGACATTATGCTTTGGGGCTGGAGGGAGGGGGATGGGAGTGACCGTGTAATGGAGACACAGCTGCAGTTTGGGAAGGTGAAAAAGTTCTGGAGATGGACGGTGGTGATGGTTGCACAACAATATGCATGTACTTAATGCCACTGAACTGTACGCTTAAAAATGGCTACAATGGGCCGGGCGTGGTGGCTCACGCCTGTAATCCTAGCACTCTGGGAGGCCGAGGTGGGCGGATTGCTCGAGGTCAGGAGTTCGAAACCAGCCTGAGCAAGAGCGAGACCCCATCTCTACTATAAATAGAAAAAATTAATTGGCCAACTAATATATATATATACAAAAAAAAAAAAATTAGCCGGGCATGGTGGCCCATGCCTGTAGTCCCAGCTACTTAGGAGGCTGAGGCAGCAGGATTGCTTGAGCCCAGGAGTTTGAGGTTGCTGTGAGCTAGGCTGACGCCATGGCACTCACTCTAGCCAGGGCAACAAAGCGAGACTCTGTCTCCAAAAAAAAAAAAAAAATGGCTACAATGGTAAATTTTGTTACATGTATATTTTAACACACACACACAACCAGCCAGGAATAACTGAGGTTGCTGTGGGGAAGGGACAGGCAGTACAATGAAAAGAGCTGGTACAAGAACAGAGCTGGCTGGGGCCTGGCAGTTAACAAAAGCTTAAAAACATGCAGCCCTGACTCCTTCATTCATTCAACAGACACACCGTTTCTGTGCCTGGCTCTGCGTCCGAGGCAGAGAGAACAGTCGTGGCTCGGAAGGCACCCACCGAGGACGGTGGCACAGTCAGAGAAACAGCAACTACACAGGTGGAGGCTCAGGCAGGTGTACAGATGAGCCAGGCCTCCACCTCCTGCACCCAGGCAAGGTACACGCATGCGCTGGGCCTTACCTGCAATCCAGTCGTAGCCCAGGTACGGCTTGAGTGGCCAGCTCTTCTCAGGCACTGCAGCCTCCTCGGAGAAGGTCACACTAGGCTGAGGGGGGAGGCAAAGGGGGTGAAATGCTAAGCCACAGGCCTGGCCCAGAGGGGGCCATACTTCAAGAGAAAGAAAGAGACTGCATCTGAATTTACATCTGACTTGGGCCCTGGAGCTCAGCCAAGGGCTCGAGAGCTAAAGGACAAAAGTTTGGCCCCACTTTTATATAACTTAGCACAAGTCTGGCCCCTGAGCCTCACTCTTCTCATCTGAATAATGGGGACGCAGCACCTTCTCCTCAAAGTGCTGTCTGAGAAAATAAAGGCCAACACTGATCAAGCACTAAGGCTGCACTAGATTCAACTCACAGTATCGCCCAGAAGCCTCTCACCCTGCATGGAGGCTGCCCACATGCACATTTGTCAGATAGGGAAACTGAGGCTCAAGGAAGCTCCCATGTATGGATATCCCGCTCTCCCATGTTACCTTGGACGGCTTGCTTTGCTGAGCCAAGATGGGCTTCAGGGGCCGTTCCTCCTGGGGCCCCCGATCAGCCAGCCCTGCAGAAAGCTCTGGGTCCCCCAAGTCAGAGGAGGACAGCCAGGGTGCTGAGTTGGATCTCACCGGGTCCAGGGACTCCTGGAGCTGGCACTTGGCAGGGGGAAGGGAGGCCGTCCTCGAGCTGGCCTCGTCACTTCCGTTAGCATCTGGTAGGCCCCACACGTGGCACTTGTCCCGTGGGCAAGAGGCTCGTGAGGAGGTTGAGGAAGTCTCTTGAGATAATGACATCTCTGAGTCACAGCTGCTGCGGAAGTCCTGGCTGGACTGGAGAAGAGGGGCCAGATCACCAAGGGAGCGGCCCACCGGAGCCCACCTACCCACGTGCCAGGCAGCACAGCCTAGGTCCTCATCCTGCTCTGGCAACAGTGTCCCAGGACAGTCCCTTCCACACCAGGCCTCGGTACTCCCATCATCAGTAAAATTGCCACGTTGGACAAGGTGACCCTGGAGGCCTGGATGTTGACCTGAGGTTAAACAGCCCCTTCCTCATCCCCTGGGGGTTTCCAAGGTGGGCACCCACCTCTAAGGCTGCCCTGGCCACCGACTGTCGCACAGCATCCTGCCCGACCCACAGCTGCCTCAGAAGCTTCAGGTTGAGCAGCCGCAGCTGTAGCAGGTCCCCAGTCTCCACCATCCTGCAGATGCTCCAGCTTCCCACAGCAGGTGTCACTGGCCCCTGGGCTGCCAGATGTCCTCCTCAGGACTGGGCTCCAGGCCCAGCGCTTCTACCTGAAGTCAAGATGATGCGACATAGGACCAAGGAAGGTATCCTGGGGTGCCTCCACAGTAGCAAGGATTACAGCTACTAGCACCACCATACTGGGCTAATTTTTCTATTTTTTTTTGTAGAGACAGAGTCTCATTCTTGCTCAGGCTGGTCTCAGGCTCCTGGTCTCATGTGATCCTCCTGCCTCAGCCTCCCAAAGTGCTAGGATTATATAGCCACTGTGCTAAGCCTGGATCCCATACTCTAACTGTGTAGACTCAGGCAAGTTATCTAACCTTACTTTATGTCTCAGTTTCCTCATCTGCCAGACAGATGCCAACAGTATCTACCTCATTAAGTTGTTGCTAGGATTAAACAAGGTAATGCAAGTTAACTCTTAGTACTGTACCTGGCACACGGTAAACATTCAATAAACGTCTAAAAATGGCCAGAGTGTGTCTCTAAAATGGCCAGAGTGTGTTTCCTTATCTGCCAAAAGAGACCAATTCCCCCTAAATGACCTTAGCCATGAAATCAGACTAGTTTAACTTGCAGAAAACAATTAGCACAAGTATGCAAATGTAAAGCTTTGTAGCTTGTGAATCCAACACAAATCAAGCTTCTGAAGGATTATTCCTTCTTTCCTGCCCTCCCTTCCTCCTTCCTTTCTTTTGACACGTGAAGAAACCAAAGTTCAGAGAGGTTAAGCAACGTGCCCCAAGTCACAAAGCTAGTAAGTGGCAAAGCCAAGAAGCAAAATCGGGCTCCAGGGTCCACGGTGACAGCCCGTCCTGGGCAGTGCGGGGAAGGGCCTGGGGAAGCTCCTCCTCCTCCCAGCCCTTGGTCCCCCAGGGATCCTCAGAGTCGGCTGCGAGGAGAGGGGCAGAGAGGAGCGGCGGGCACCTGTCCCCCCACATGCCCTCCTAAGGTGAGGGCGCAAGGAGCTGCAGACAAGGGGGACCGACCGCCCAGCCCAGCCCGTGGGCCCCGAGTGGGCCGGCCGCCACCCTGATCTGGTCTAGGGACTCTGAGCCCCACCTCTGTAGTCCGAGGGGCTCCGTTGTCGCACGAGGGTACGGGGCTCGGCCTGCACGACCTCCGCCGGCTCGGCCGCGCTCTGGACAGCGGAAGGCTGCGACGGGAGCGGGAAGGCGGCGTTCAACGGAGGCCCTGGGGCAGGGGAAGTGACAAGCAGCGAGGGGGACGCCGACACGGGACCCCGGGGAAGGGAGACTCGGCCTCCTCCTCTTTCCGCCGCGAGCCAGAGCTAGAGCCCGAGCCCCGCGCGGCGGCGCACGCGGGGTCCCGCCCAGCCCCCTCCCCGGCAGGGCCCGCGGCCCCCGCACTCACCGCTCGGAAGCCCCCGGCCGCACAGCCCCCGCCGCCGCCCGTTCTGATTGGCCAGACGCGGGGCGGAGCCGCGCCGCCCCGGCGAGCGTTACTCCGCGTTCCGAAGCGGCAGTTTCAACCTGGGGGCGGGACTAGAAGCTGGGCTCCGCAGCCGATTGGTCAACTTCCGAGGCCGGGGCCGAAGGTCGACTTTCGGGATAGGGCGGGCCCTGGGAGGGCGGGCTCCGATTGGTCAGGCGTGGGATAAGGCTGCGCTGCGCTCGGCTTATGTAGCTGAGGAGCCAGGCCTGGCAACCTGAGCAGCGTCTCCAGTCGGAAGCTGCGGGATGCTGCGGTGTGGGCGCGGCAGGCAGCGGCGGGAACCGGGTCCTTAATACTTTCATTCAGGTTTTTACCGAGTGCCTACCAGTTTGTGTCAGGAGGCACTTACTAGGCACTGGGAAGCAGAGAAGAATTGAGAGGGGTCCCTGCCTGGAGCAGGGGAGAAGCAGTGGGGAAGGTATATATGAAGACAGACACCTGTAAACCTGTCTGTAAAATATGAACCTTATAGTGAGTGCCTGCTAGGTGCCAAGTTTCGGGGCCAGCTATGTTTCATATGCCAATGCATTCTAGCTTCATAAATATGATCTGAGTATTATCGGTCCCCGTTTTATAGAAAAGTCCACGAGGCCATAAGAGATGAAGCAGTGACTTGCCCAGACATTTTCTAGTTTTTTTTTATTTTTCTCTATTTTTTTTTTGAAGCAGGTCTCACTTTGTTGCCCAGGCTAGCCGGTGGTGCCGTCCCATCGCCTGGGCACGCCAGCCTCATTCTGGGTCTTCAGCCGATGCCTCCCTGCCCTCGCCTGTCGAGTAGCTGGGATACCAGGGCGTGGCCACCGATGCCCGGCCTAATTTTGTGTATATTGTTTTAGTTGCCCGGTCATTTAATTTCTTTCTATTTTTTGCGTAGAGACGGGGGTCTGCCCTCGGGGTGTTTCGAACTCCTGACTTGGGGCCCCGATGCGGCCCGCCTCGCGCCTCCCCAAGTTGCTTGAAGAATTTCAGGCGTGAGCGCACCGCGCCCGCGCCCAGAACATTTTAAATCAGTGTAATTCACTGTATTATTAATACAGAAGAAAGGAAAACCATCTCAATAGATGCAGGAAATCCACAGCTTGTCCCTTTTTCTTGGTTGGAAATGGGAGGTGTCTTCTACATGCTAGATGTTCTAGCATTTGACAAAATCCAACATTCATTTCTGATTTTTAAAAAAGCCTCCAACAAACTAGGAATGGAAGGGGATGTCTTCACCCTAATAAAAGGCATCTATGAAATACAGCTAACAGCATATTGCATAATAAAAGACTGCTTTCCCTCTAAGATCAGGAAAAGACAAGGATGTCTGCTTTTGCCACTTCCATTCAACATTATTATAATGGAGTTCTAGCCAGAGCAATAAGGAAAGAAAAAGAAAAGGCATCTAATAGGAAAAGATGAAGTAAAACTGCTTATTCATATATATGATAGTAGAAAACCCCATGAATCTACAAAAAAGCTACCAGAATTGTTAATGAGTTCTGTAAGATTGTAGGATACAAAATCAATATACCAAAATCAGCTGTATTTTATATATTAGTAATAAATAATCAGAAATCGAAATTTAAAAAATAACCCTATTTACACTAGCATCGAGAAATGTGAAAATAAAACAGGGATAAATCTGACAAAAGATATACAAGACCTGCATATTAAAAATTGTAAAACACTATTGGGAGAAATTAAGGAAAATTTAAATGATATGTTCATGGGTTAAAAGATTCGATATTTTTGGCCAGGTGCGGTGGCTCACGCCTATAATCCTAGCACTCTGGGAGGCTGAGGTGGGCAGATCGCTCAAGGTCAGAAGTTCGAGACCAGCCTGAGCAAGAGCGAGACCCTGTCTCTACTAAAAATAGAAAGAAATTAATTGGCCAACTAAAAATATATAGAAAAAATTAGCCGGGCATGGTGGCGCATGCCTGTAGTCCCAGCTACTAGGGAGGCTGAAGCAGAAGGATTGCCTGAGCCCAGGAGTTTGAGGTTGCTGTGAGCTAGGCTGATGCCATGGCACTCTAGCCAGGGCAACAGAGTGAGACTCCGTCTCAAAAAAAAAAAAAAAAAATTCGATATTTTTAAGATGTCAGTTTTCCTCAAATTGACCTATAGACTTAATGCAATCCAAGTCAAAATCCCAGTAAGTTTTTCTTGTAGAAATTAGCGATTTCAAAAATTCATACAGAAATGAAAGGACCTAGATAGCCAAAACAATTTTGAAAACAAAAAACAAAATCAGATGAGCTATACTGTAACCTGCTTCAAGGTTTATTCTAAAGCTACAGTCATCTGGAAAGTACGGGGATCCGGAGTTAAAGAGGGCTCCAAAGGTGGGAAGTGAAGTCAGTGCCTCAGTTGCCGGTCAGTGTGTGTTTGGTGCCCTATTCTTTTATCACAAAAAATAAAAAGAGAGGAAACACTGCAGTGAATGATTCTTCTCCATTTTAGCACTGCTTTTTCTACTGTAGTTGGCTTTTGAATGAGGATGACAATGGAAGAATGATGAATGAAGCTGGACCACGTCCATGGTTTCTATGCCCCTTCATGCAGTCATGTATCCTGTGTTTAATGAGCTGGAACGAGTAAATCTGTCTGCAGCTCAGACTCTGAGAGCCGCTTTCATTAAGGCTGAAAAAGAAAATCCAGGTCTCACACAAAACATCATTATGAAAATTTTAGAGAAAAAAAGCACAGAAATTAACTTCATGGAATCCCCTCTTCATATGGCAGCTGATGATGTAGAAGAGTATATGATTGAACGACTAGAGGCAGAATTCCAAGACCTAAATGAAAAGGCACAAGCACTTAAACAAATTCTTAGTGAGATCCCAGATGAGATCAATGACAGAGTGAGGTTTCTGCAGACAATCAAGGATATAGCTAGTCCAATAAAAGAACTTCTTGATACAGTGAATAATGTCTTTAAGAAATATCAATACCAGAACCGCAGGGCACTTGAACACCAAAAGAAAGAATTTGTAAAGTACTCCAAAAGTTTCAGTGATACTCTGAAAACATATTTTAAAGATGGCAAGGCAATAAATGTGTTCATAAGTGCCAACCGACTAATTCATCAAAGCAACTTAATACTTCAGACCCTATTAAGATGTAAGTGTAAGTAAGCTCCTGTCACTCCTTGGCTCAAAACTCTCCAATGACACCTACCTCACTCATGGACAAAGCCAGAGTCCTTACAGTGGCCTGCAAGACCCCAAGTCTGCTACAAGTTCCTTTACACACCTTTTCTCCTATCATTCCCCACCTCCTTCACTCTACTCAGGCCACAGTAGCCTCATTGGGCATGCTCCTACCTCAGGGCCTTTGCACATGCTGTTCCCTCTGCCTGGAAAGACCCACACAGATATCCCATGACTTCATTCCCCACTGTCTTCATTTAAGTCTTTCTTCAAATGCTATCTTCTCAGTGAGGCCACCAGCGCACAGTATTGCTACCCTCCCACATGTAGCATAGCCCTTATCTTCTGATAGCCCTGTGTCTTTTACCTGCTTAATCTTGCCTATTGTCTGCCTTCACCCACTAGTATACAAGCTCCACAGAGGCAGGGATTTTTATCCACCTTAATCACTGCTGTGTCTCCAATGCCCAGACCTATGCTTTGCACTTACTAAGCACTCAAATATTTTGCTGAATTAATGAACTTCCTCATTTGTACAAGGGGAAAATAGGCCATTGGGTTTTTCAGAGGATGAGGGTTCATGCATATGAATGTATGACACATGCTAAGCTCTCAATGAAAGTTCCTGGTTCTTATCTCAAGCGTAAGAGTCTGACTCAGAGACAAAAAAATCACGCCCTCAAGGACAGAGTGAATTTAGCTGACATCTGTGAGGAGGGTTGGGTTTCACGAGAAGCCCTTATGAACCAAATGCTCTCCGTGTTCAGGCTGCCTGGGTTGTCTCCCCCAGTGCCTGGGAGAGAGAGGCGCATTCCTGCCTACGTACTCTTTGTGATTAAATGGGGACATTTACCGCAGGGCTAAACATTCCAGCCTCTCAGATTCCCCAGAATGTCCAGTAGATAGATAAGGGAATCTATGAGAAACCACAGGAATGAGTCTAGCCTTCACTGGAATAAGAACTAAGCCATGCGTGAGTGAGGCAGCAAGGTGTAGAACACCCTTTTTCAAACTATGGGTCATCACCCAAGAGTTGCTGGCCAACAATTTAGTGGGTTGTAAATAGCATCTTTTTTTTTTTTCATGTCTGACAGGTAACATGCCGATGTCATAACAAGGATTAAGGGAGGCACATTTCATGTATGTGTATGAAAACACGTCATGCTTGAAAACACATGAGCATGAAAAAATGTGTATGAAAACACATCATGTATGAAAACCATCATGCTTATGATCATACTACAAAAGGATCGAGCATCTTGTTAATGTCAGCAACTACCTGTGTACTGCAGGAAAAGGGTATTGATTACTTTAAGTTTTTTTTTTCTTTTCATTCAGTTATATGATGAAATACTTTAAATTTTTTTTCATTCACACATAGGTGTGTGCTGGATCACAGTATGTTTTATTTTTGTCTGTGTTTTAATTTTTAGAGATGGAGTCTCACTATGTTGCCCAGGCTGGAGTGCAGTGGCTCCTCGGGCGAGATCACACTACAGCCTTGAACTCCTGGCCTGAAGTGATCTTCCTGCCTCAGTCTCTTAAATAACTGGGACTACAGGTGCACACCACAGTGCCTGGCTCACAATACATTTATAATTGTGGGTCAGGGTAAAAAATAAGTTTGAAAGCCACTAGCCTTTGGGAAATTAAGACTTAAACCCAAGCTCCGTCTTCCCTCCTGTTCCTCCAGCTGCTGGGATTTGAGCTAGTCCTAACTTCTCTGAGCCTCAGTTTCCACACTGAGTTGAAAATGCCAAATACTGAATACTCAATGCACTTGAAAGTTGCTAGTACCGTGCCTACTGACAGATTTCCAGCAGCATTTGTTAGTTCAGTCCCCCAATACTGAGGGCTGATAAACGTGTGGACTGTGTTACCGGGATAGGATTTATGCATCCGAGTTTTTACTGAGCTCCAGTCCTGTGCCTGGCACTGGTCTAGATGCCGGGTAGATACCAATAAACGTAGACAAAAAGCTGGGCCCTTGCGGAGTATATGTTCAATGAAACAAAACACTAAAACAAAACAAATAAAATAAAACACCTGTCAGATGACGACTGTTGGCCGGGCGCAGTGGCTCATGCCTGTAATCCTAGCACTCGGGGGAGGCCGAGGCAGGAGGATCGTCTCAGCTCAGGAGTTCAAGATCAGCCTGAGCAAGAGTGAGACCCTGTCTCTACTAAAAAAAAAATAGAAATTAGCTGGACAAGTAAAAATATATAGAAAAAAATTAGCTGGGCATGGTGGTGCCTGCCTGTAGTCCCAGCTACTTGGGAGGCTGAGGCAGGAGGATTGCCTGAGCTCAGGAGTTTGAGGTTGCTGTGAGCTAGGCTGACGCCACAGCACTCTAGCCTGGGCAACAGAGTGAGACTCTGCCAAAAAAAAAAAAAAAAAAACTGTTATGAAAAACACATATATATGTTGCAGGGGGAGGGAACTCAGGGCGTTGGGGACAGAGGAAGAAGAGAGGGGATTTTGGGTAGAGTGGTCTGGGCAGACCTCGCTGAGGTGACATTTCAGTGCACTTGTTCAAAGAGTTGGCTAGCTGTGGCCAGCTAGAAAGATGGAAGTGAGGGCTGGGTACCAGCAGCCACTGCAAGGACTCGAGCCTCCACTCTGGGTGGAATGGTGGCAGGTGGCTCAAGGATCAGCAATGTTTTGAGCAGAGAAGTAGCATGAGCTGAGTTCCATGTGAAAAGGTCACTGGCTGCTGCCTTGAAACAGCCACAAGATGGCAAGGACAGGGAGGAGGGGACAAGGCAGGAGCCAGGAGCCTGGGTCAGTACTGGGGTGGTTGGGATGGAGGTGGAGAAAGCATTCAGGGTTGAGAGACACACTCACAAGGCAGAAACTGACAGATTATATGCAGCATGTGTGACAGCAGACTCTAAGGTGACACCCCAAGCATGTGGCCTGGGAATCTGGAGGGATGAGGTGGCGATTAGCTGAGCTATGGCCTCTGAAGTGGGTGACTGGGGCAGACAGTGGGCTGCGGCGCCAGCTCTGGGGTCAGGGGCAGGCAAACTGACAGCCACTTCCAATCCACTCCTGAGGGCCCTTTAAAAAAAGAAAGAGAAGTTTGAAACCAAATTCTCAGAAGGCAAAGCAGAGTGAACCAGTCTGAGTCATTTACTTTTTAAGTGAAAAATGAATGGTTTGGCATTATAGAGAAATCTGTAAAGAAATCAATCTAGATTTCCTGATTCTTAAAGATCAGATACACCACTTATTCTGAGAGTATGAGATTCCTTCCAAGAATAAAGAGGACCTCATTGGCAGACGACAGTGGGAACTTTCCCCAAAGTTAAGGTCACCTGAAAAAACAGCCTGCACACTTGGCTACATCCAAGAAGAGTTTGCACAAGAACAGTAAAATGATGAGGCACAGATCCCACAAGGGTTTCCAACTAGGTTTTATTTTAGTTTCCAATATTACCAGCAATGATACAGGAGTAATTCAGGCAAATACATCACCTTAAATGCGTCAGAGAACTCACTGTGTCAAGCACATCTTGCAGTCCAGCAAATGAACATAAAAACAGAGAACAAAGTTAGCAGCATTAAATTAAAGTGCTTTTCGCCACACTTCTTTCAGAGAGGGTCTCTCCCTCTGTGGTATAAATTTCATTTTACTTAAATTGTGTAAGAAGCTCAAAATTTCATTCATTCCCCAGGGGAAACATTGAAAAAAATTACTCTAAATTTTTTTTTTTTTTTTTTTCAAAAAGAGCACAAAATCCTTTGGAATTGTGTGACATTAATCTTCTCTGACAGGTGTGAGGGGCCCCGTACATCTAGGACTGGCAAACACAGAACACCCTGCTAACTGCACACCGGCCTTGGCAGAGTCTGTCACTGTGTCCCACACCTCAGGGTAGACTGAGGGTTTGAAGCACAAGCGGGTATGTGGAGAGGACATCACCTGTGTGGCCACCTACCAGTGCACGGGGGCCACCAACTCATTTCCCCAAAGCCTGGTGATGACTGGACTCAAATTCAGCAGAACCGGACTCCACTCTCTGCAGGGGCCCCTGCCCTGTGCTGCTAAGGCTTGTCACCCAGACACCGTTTTCCCCACAGTTAACACCTTGGTGACAGGAGCCTGCCCCCACTTTGACCAGTAGTAATCCCAAAACTCAACAACAGGAAACGTTTCTCAAAGTCAACCCGAGGACGAGTGTGTCAATCAAGGCTCTGGCGATCAGGGAGGCTGGGAGGACGGGCATTGGTTTCCCACACTGTCCCTTGACCGACTGTGATCACTGGCATAGGAAACTCAGTCCAGGGGCCTGGTGGCCCAGGGCAGCTTGGGGCATGGCCAGGGCAGGGCATGGAGCCATGTCTCCTAAGGGGCTTATCAGGGATGTAGTCAAGCAGGGCGCGGGCTCTCAGGCCCACAGGCGCCTCACAGTGAGGTCAAGTGCAGGGCCCCCTCTCCAGCCATCCTGGGTGGGGACCACTCCCCCAGCCTCCCCACCGTCCACCCTCTGTCCTTCTACGACATCCTTAACCACCTGCGCCAAACCAACTTCCACCAACGATAAAATAGGCCCCCACAGGCGAGGACTTAAACTAGAGCAAGGGACACAATGACAAAGAGAGAGGCAAATCCCTACTCATCATGGTGACGGCCACCCACTCCAACAGCACTGCCCTGAGCTGCTCTGGCTCCTTCCCACCCCTGCCGGCGCAGGGCCTGCCTCAGTCCAAGCCCAGGGCACGAGGAGCCTCACCACCCCCCACAACGTGTCTGAGCAGCTCAGAGAGCCGAGGGAGCACTGATGCTGAAGGACTGCATGGACACAAGCCACAGTCCTGGGACAGCCTCGGCATTCTTGGAGCTTTTTCTGATACTTTTGGCAAGAAAATCCAGTCATGCCTCAGGCAGCCTCTCTCTGCGGGGGTGCGAGGGCAGGGGTGCATGGGCAGAGGAAGGCGGGGTGCGTGCGTCAGTGTGGCATTCTGCAGCGCCGGGACCCTCAGCAATGATTTTCAGTCGACTGAGCCTGACAGGGCAGAGCACGGCCTGGCTGTGACTCCTTGGTACCGCGCTGTGCGGTCGTGAGAAAGTCTCCGTTAGGGGTATGAGCCAGATCTTCCTGCAAAGGCAGGCAAAGGAAGGGGACATTACTAGCATTGAAGGGCTCAAAACGGCATGAGACAGTGGGTGCTTCGTTCTCTTGACGGTGGCCAGGGGCAGAGCCACACGCGCCCCTGGGGGAGCCTACACGCTTGGGGGCTGGCGGCAGCGCCCTCCTCCGTGCGGCTCCGCCAGGCCGCCCACTATCTGCTGGGCTGCAGGTACTGGTGCGTGAACATGTTGAGCTCGCTGTCCAGCCACCCAGCTTTATTCCTGCAAAGAAACAAACAGTGTTTTGTAACCACGACAGCTGATCATAGGTGACAGTAGCACTGCCCAGCAGGTACCGTCCTGAGCACACCTGACAAAGTAGCCTCACCTCATCCTCCAATAACCCTCTTCGCTCGTCACAGACGAGGAAAAGGAGGCCCAGAGAGGTTACAGAACTTCCCAAGGTCACACAGTTAATGACTGAGGATGCTGCGAGCCAGCCTTTTCCGACTCTCAAACCCATGTCTGCTTCACCTGGGACCACGGGCAAGTCCCCGAACCCTCGGGAACTCGGTTTTCCTGCTTGCCAAGCAAGAGGACGGGGTGCTGACGGGAGGCCCTTTCCAGGTTCACCCCTGTCCCTGTGGCTGACGAGCAGCAGCAGACTCCCTGAGAGTCCCCAGCGAGAACACTGTGTCCCTAGGAGACGGCTGTCCCCGGGTGGTGGGTAGGGAGGGGCACATCCACACAGTCAAGGGAGGGGAAGCCCACCCATCCGGCCAGGGGGCTGGAGCTGGTACCCTGTGATGCCATCGCCTCCGGCTCTGCCGCCCTGCACGCAGGCCTCTGACGTCAGGGGTGGGGGCAGGAAGTACAGGGTCCCCGTGTGCTGATGTTATCATGGGCTGAGTGGGCCGAGGACTTTTGCAGAGCACTTTTACATTCAGCTGTGTGACTGTGTCATGAGACCCCATTTTACAATGAAAACAATGAGACACAGGGAAGGGAAGTGATTTGGCCAAACATGGGCAGCAGGAGAGAAGCCGGAGCTCCCGACTCGTCAGATCCACGCTCTCCCGCAAACTGCTGGCGGAAGCTGCGTCTCAACACAGACCCCGCAGGAACCTGGGCTCCATCCTGACCCTCCCAGTCCCCGGCCAAGTACTCGGCTTCCCTGTGGGTAACAGCGGGCTGTACCCCCTTACGGGCTCAAAGGGAGATTAAGCGAGGTGTGCGTGGTGGGGCTAGCCCAGCTCGAGGGACTCTGTGCAGGACATGGAGGCCCCTGGGCCAAGCACACTGGCCTGCACTCCTGGCCCAACTGCTCCCTGTGGGGTTCCAGATAAGTTCCTCGACTGCCATGGGCACAAATTTTCCTATTTTAAACAGTTGAAAATCTGCCCCTCAAGGGATGTGCAAGAGTGAAAGAAACTGGCCAAGTGTTTGTTGCAGTTAGACAGAAGGTGCCTGGGAGCTGCAGCCTCTCGGTACTGTCACGCTTGAGGGCAGCGGTGCTGCGTCTTGTCGAGCCTCCAGCACTGGCACCCTTCGGGCACCCATCTAACATGAGTGAGCTACATCCCCGCCAGAGAGGCTCGTGTCCACGCCCAAGACAAGCAGCTGAGCTCTACTGTGCCCAGGCCATGCCCGGGAGCCCGTTGCCATCCCCCCACCCCCCCCACCCCCCTGTCCCCAGCCCGGCCTCACCTGAGCAGCTTGGCTTTGCTCTGAAGTGAATCAAGAACCTCAATTTTCTTATTCATGGCAGCAATTTCTTGTTCCAGGTTCTCCCGGGTGACATCAACTTGCTGACACAGATGAGCAAAGGTCCCAGACAGTTCCCTGAGGTGGGTGAGAGGAGGGATCAACCCTCGTGTCTGTCCCAGCAGGGCACCAGAGGCCAAATCCACCTAGAGGGAGGTGGCAGCTGGGCCAGGCCACACCCCTGCTGGCAGCTCTGCCCCCCACCAGCCCTGCTTTGGCGGATCTTTCCCACCTCCTGCTGGAACTGAGAATAGCCCTAACAACCAAGCACACTCAGCGTCACCAGGGTGTTGAGAGGCAGTGGCACAGAGCAGTGCACCCTGGCTTGGGCACGAGACCTGGCTCTGCTGTTCATCAGCAAACAGGGACACATGACTGTTCTTCACATCTCAGTTTCATCTACCTCAAAGAGTAAGAGGAGTAAATGAAACATTAGGTGCAAAATGCCTGGCAAAGGTCTGCCACACGGCAATAAAAAGAGGGAAGCTGGCACCGTCCCCCTCCCCAGACCAAGCAACAGACCTGCATGACCTAAGATGTGCATGAGGAACAGGCCGGGATGGAGAACTGCAAAGCGGCATCCACAGCCCAAGCCCTTCGAAGCAACTTCTTAAAACTCTTACTAGGAATGTCCCATTTCTTCCTCCCCTGGAGGACCAGAGACCTACCTGGTCCCAGCCCAGGATATAAGGTGTCCCTGAGAGACCCTTCTCCCCATCCCTGGCCTCAAAGCTGGCACTGCACACTGAAGGCCCAGGGCCCATGATGTCAGGACCCAGGGGTCTCCAGGCCAGGCTGGAAGGGAGGTGGGGCTGCTGACCCCAACTAGAGGGAAGCCCTCCCCTCAGGATGACGGGTCACTCACTGCTGGACTTGGTGGCTGCAGTTGGAGCCGGTGTAGCTGATGATGAGCTGCAGCTTCTCGCTGGCATACTCCACAAACTGGCGCTTGAAGGCCCTCTCCTTGGCCTTGGTGGTCCAGGTCAGACGCTCGTAGACGTAGAGGAGGCCGTACAGCCCAAATGACAGGGCGATGAGCCGCCAGCCCACCGCCTTCCACACCTGCAGAGGCGAGGCACACGGTTGGCCCAGAGTGGGGCCTCTCTGTGACCCCACCTCTTCTCCTGCACTTGTCACTATCAGGACTGTCCCCAGAGCCCCAGACGAGGAGCTCTGGTGTTTCTAGTTGGACTACCCCCCTCCATCAATGTCGCCTTTCATCCCACTGAGACCAGAAGGGCAGGGACCATCTCCAGTCGGGAATGAGGGAAACGCAGGGAGTCAGTGCTCCCCACGAGGTCACAGTGAAGAGCCTCTGAGACATGAGGAAACATGGAGCTCACGGGGAAGTGGTCGGCCAACGCAGGGCCACCACCAGAGCCCCCAGTCCCCTCCCACCTGCCCTCCACCCCCACCCTCCCAAGCAGGACTCGTTACTGACCACTCCTCCAACAACAAGAATGCCCATGGAGGTCCTGGATGTCAGGGAGGCCAGGCCAGTAACCATGGAAACCATGAGCTCCTCCTGGGTGAGTGAGCCTTGTGGCAAGGGTGGCATGCTGGGGTTGGCTGGTGTCAGAGGGACAGGACGCTGAACCTGAATAGAGAAACCATGAGAAGGACGTGACTAATACCTCATTTATGCAAACCCTCAGCGACCCTCAAGGATAGGGGAGCTGGGACAGAGACACAGGAGCGGTTCTTCCATTTCCAAAAGGCAAACAGTGGGAAAATGAGCTTGAATGTAGTAGAGAAGGATTTAAGCCTTTTCTTTTTAAAGGACAGGGTCTCTGCCAGGCTGGAGTGCAGTGACGCAATCACAGCTCACTGCAGGGATTTAAGCTTCCTAACAGACCTGAGTGCTGTGGGATACACAGGGGTGAGCAGTGGCCATCCTGGCACACGTGGGCAGTTTCCCAAAGCGTGGCACATGTACAAACAGCAGGACATGCATTAGTTCAAGTGGTTTAGGGATGGATGTTTTTTAAATCTAAATTTCAAAATGGTGGTAGACAGGTGGGTATTTTAAAGGTCATCTATTTTTAATAGATGTGACGTGTATTAGGAAGAAACACAGCTAGAATTTGTCATTTTGTAAATACTTCTGCTCAGAACAAGGCCAGGTTGTTCAGTGGCAAAAATCCTGACTGTAGGGTCCCATGTGGCGGCACACACTGCCCAGCTGTTAGCCTTAGTTCCAGAATGATTTGTGTCTTGGGGCGGGGGGCAGACTGACTTCCCGAAAGGCCCCTGCGGTGAGGTGCTTTGCTTGCCTGGTCGTTGTAGCCCATCAAGGCCCGACGGCTGTTCTTGGGGCCCAGGAACCTATTCACCAGCATGGTCCATCCGAGTGAGAAATGGAACTCGATGTCCTCCTGAAAGTCGGCACACAGCTTGTCACAGTTCAGGTCGTAGCTGAGGGAGAAGCACTGGCGAGGGACCAGCATGTCTATCTGGCTCCGTACGGACACGGGAAGGAGGGGCTTCAAGCCGTCTATCAGGGAAAGAATTGGGGAAAACCCGTGTCAGTGCAGCTCTGAGCCACACCAGTGCCCAGCCTTCGGAACAAGGGCCACCAGCGACTGCCAAGGATGCCTGGAGACCACAGTCCAGACGAGTGGCTGGCGGGGCTGGGAAAGCCTCGCTCTCCCAGGGTGTGCGGGCTGAGGCTCCACACCTGCTAACTCTACGCCTCCTGGGGATTTGAGGAGCGAGCCACACTCTCGGCCTATGACAGTCCCCTGTGGTAACACAGGATGGGCTCCCCATGCTATGCAGAGCATGAATTCACGACGCATACCCAGAACCTGCAGGTGCTGGGTTGAATCATCATCAAAGGTGACAGATAAGGAAAGTCATTACGTCTTTAGCTTGGTCTCTGAATCTGATCTCTGGGCAGTCCCAGAGCCCCAGGCCCCAAGTTCTCCTGTGGCACGAACCTATCATGTCCTGCTGCATGGTCTGCAGGGAGTTGGTGATAGCCGTGGAGCAGCGGTCGGACATGTTTCGGCCCAGTCCCTCCTCTATGTGGCGATGCAGTTCCTGCACCCAGAAGCGGGAGTTAGGAGAAGCAGCACCCCAGCAGGACTTCCTTCAGCCCACACCCACCAGGTGGCCTCCACGTCCACGGTGCGGCCCTGACCCAGACCAGCAGGGGCTGAATCCCTGCTGGGGGCCCCTGCCAAGAACACCTGTGGCTCCACGACTCACATTCTTATAAACCTTGAGGACTACTGGAGAAGGGTGGAAATCCATCTGGTACTCGTCCACCAGCACAGAGAGGCGCCTGATCTCCTCAGCCATCGCAGTTGACACCTCCAAGGAAAAAGGAAGCGCGATGTTAAGTATCAAGGAAGACGTGGTTCAATCATGCAGCACCGGGAGAGATTCTGGAAGGCTGGATAGCCCTCCTCTCACACCAGCAGTCCCCAGCTGACCTACGCAATCCAAGCCTCCAAGGTGGAAGGAACTGAGAAATTGGCTGATCAAACGCCCACATGACACATGGAGGAAGAGGCCTCAAAGATGGAGGACGTGCTGTGGGTCACACAGTGACACACAACAGGACATGGGGAGGTTTTGCATTTTTTTTTTTTTTTTTTTTTGGAGACAGAGTCTCACTCTGTTGCCTGGGCTAGAGTGCCATGGTGTCAGCCTAGCTCACAGCAACCTCAAACTCCTGGGCTCAAGTGATCCTTCTGCCTCAGCCTCCCGAGTAGCTGGAACTACAGGCATGTGCCACCATGCCTGGCTAATTTTTTATACATATATTTTTAGTTGTCCAGATAATTTCTGGACAACTAAAATTTCTGGATTACTATTTTTAGTAGAGACAGGGTCTTGCTCTTGCTCAGGCTGGTCTTGAACTCCTGACCTTAAGTGATCCTCCCACTTTAGCCTCCCAGAGTGCTAAGATCATAGTCGTGAGCCACCACGCCTGGCCGAGGCTCCATATTCTTGAAATGGGGCCACAACTTCCTTCTGGAAGGCTGAGAAGCCCCCTAGAAAGCCCATTTTTTCACTTTGCCAGCACTTGGACTCTACTCTGAGTCCAAATCTCCCTGAACCGCTTCCTCCTTGTTTCTCACCTGCCTTTCCACTTCTTCCGTAATCTGCTTAATTCGAAGTTTATAATCTTGAGCCAAAAGCTCCAGCTGTTTGTCAATAAATCTCAGCCGGTCTTGACGCTCTTCTCGCATTTCCAGGCAGTAAACCCTGAAAGAATGAACGCTGGTTAGAAACCCATGTTCCCACTTTACCACACAGAGGAGCATGAGGAGACACCAGAAAGCCTGCACAGGCCCCACCCCCTGCCCGGCCCCATCAGTGACCTTTCCCCTCCCAGGTGGGAGGGAGGCACCTACGCCGCCCAGTCACTCTTCAGCCTCCCATGTGGAAGGAGAGGCGGTGGTGACAGAGTGGGGAGGGTGCTATAAGGGGGTTTAAACAAGTCCTGCCAATTAGTACAGGAAAAAGATGCTCAACCTCACTGGTAATCAGAGAAATGAAATTAAAAAGAGGCATTACTTTCTACCCAGAGGCCTGGCAAAAACGACCAGGCCTGAAGGGACAGTGCTGGTGGTGTGCTGAATGCATACAGCCGTGCTGCAGAGCAAGCGGGTGAAACTGAGCAGAACTGAAAATGCCTGTACCCTAAGATAGAACAGCTGCTCCTCTAGGAATCAACCCTAGAAAGGCTCTCACGGGGTGCACAAGGCACACACCAACAGATGTCTGCTGCAGCGGGGTTTGCACCAGCAAAAAAAATTCCAAAAATCAGTCAATAGGAAAATCAGGAGTGGAACAAGCTACAAAGTGAATATTCATAAAGTAGAGGCTGGGGAGAGAGGCTCATGCCTGTAATCCCAACACTCTAGGAGACGGAAGTGGGAGGATCACCTGAGGCCAGGATTTTGAGACCAGCCTGAGCAAAAGCAAGACCCCGTTCTCTACAAAAACAGAAAAATTAGCTGTGTGTGGTGGCATGTGCTTGTAGTCCCAGCTACTCAGGAGGCTGAGGCAGGAGAATCAGTTGAACCCAGGAGTTTGAGGCTGTAGTGAGCTATGATGATGCTACTGCCCTCTAGCCCGGGTAACAGAGAAACCCAGTTTCAAAAACAAACAAACAAACAAACAAACATAAACAATGTGGACCAATGAGGATAAAAGGGAAAACAATGTTGAATGGAAAGAAAAGCGAGGTGCAGTGACATACCCAGTACGATACCACACCTGGATATTTAAAACGTGTACAAAGCAACATTACATACTCTTTAGGATTTGTGTTAAAAAGTACTTTTTAAATGAGTGATAGGACTATATAAATTCATGATCATGGCATCTCTGAGGAGAGGGCAGAGTGGCATTGGGACAAGGGTTAAAGAATCAAAGGGTACTTAACATCTTTGTTTTATTTTCATTTAATATAAAAAAAACATTGTCAATTCTGTGTGGTAGAAGCAAGGTGTTTTCATATTATTCTCTGTACTTTTCTATATTTTATTTAATTAATTTATTTTTTTGAGACAGGGTCTTGCTCTGTTACCTGGGCTAGACTGCAGTGGCATCATCATAGCTCACAGCAACCTCAAACTCCTGGGCTCAAGTGATCCTCTTGCCTCAGCCTCCCCACTAGTTCGGACTACAGGCATACACCACCATGCCTGGCTAATTTTTTCTATTTTTAGTAGAGATGGGGGGGTCTCGCTCTCCTGACCTCAAGTGATCCTCCTGCCTCAGCCTCCCAGAGTGCTAGGATTACAGGCGTGAGCTACTGTACCCGGCCCTATATTTTAAATTTCTCCAAAAAAAATGTCATTTTTATAAAACGTGTTCAGGCTCTGAGAATGGCTGCAGTGCTCAGCAGGGTGTGGGCTGAGGCCTCCAACACAGAGGGCCACACTACATGCCCAGGTAGGGCCATCAGGCACCCAGTAGCCCTCCTCCCCTGGTTGTCCCTGTGGCTCTAACATGTCTGGTGGCCAGGGGGAAGGGCCCTGGATGGGAGCGCAGAGACTGAGCTCTGCCATCAAGGAATATCTGTCCCAGCTGCCCAGGCGGGGGTGGGGCCATCACCTCTCAGCACCCCTCTGTGCCTGTCTGCAGCTCTGGGCTCTTACCGCTGCTCCTGAGCTGCAATGTGCAGCGAGTCCATGATGAAGCGAACTGCCTCTGCAATCTGCTTGGCCCGGACTGTGTGCTGCTCAAATTTGGTCTTCACTGCAGACTGGGAGATGCACTCCTGAAACAGACAGAGGCACCGAGGGAGGCGTGGGCCACGTGGTGCTCATAGCCAAGGGCCAGGCTCTGGCTTTCACTGCCAGGAACACAGCCAGTGAGAGCTGGGGAGGCATACAACCGCCAGATACCAGAATCAAAGGACTCACCTCAAATCTCCTCTCGAAATTCTGAAACTCAAACATCCTCACTTGAAAGCCTTCTGCAAGAGCGCCCCCTAGGAGGATCGCACTGCATTAGTCAGGAAATAACTGGGCAGCAGAGGAAAACGGTGAAATTCCCCCAAACCAAACCACTGCTGGAGATCAGAGCCTCTCACTAAAGGCTCCTCTCACCATCTCATCCTCAGAATGGTTTTCTACTGACAGACTCAGCAGGCAACCATGCACGCAGCAAACATCAGGGAAAAGGAGGATGTCTATTCCCATCATTACCTCCTTCAGGCATGCCCTGGGCTTTCTGGATCCTGGCGTTGAGCACCTCCTTGGCAGACACAAAGAAGATGCGGTCCCCAGCCTGGGCTCGGTCCACCACGCCCAGCTCGTCCACCAGGAAGCTGCTACAACGCTCCATGTGCTGCCGCCGTACCTGGGGCCAAACAGATGTGACCAGGGTGGGTGCAGGTGGGCCCCTCCTGACAGAGCCCACAGCCCCCAACTGCCCCTGGTATTAAAACAATAGGTGATATATTCATGTGGCTCAATAGTCAAAGATACAAACATACGCAGCAAAACACCTCCCACCATCTCTGCTCTCTAGCCATCAAGCTTTCCAGAATGATGCCATGGGGGTTTCTTGGGGGAGAGCCTGCCAAAGATATTTTATCCATGCACCAACAGAAATGCTTAAACATGGCCCAAATGCCTCTTATTAGAGCCCACATGGTGTCTCACCTTGGTGCCCAAAAGGGCAGGAAGCTGGGGGGTCAAGAAGCCTAAACCTGAGTGCTGTGTCTGGACAAGCCTAGTCTCCTGGGTGCCAGTAGAAAATCCCTTCTAGCTCTGACGTCCTGGGATTCTACTGATAGACCTTATAATGGCCTCTGTAGACACTACCATGCGTCAGGCACTTTTAACAGATTTCACCCCCTCAACAAGTCCATTTATTACACCCGTCACCCTGGTAAAGAAACTGGATTACCAGAGGGTCAGGGAATTTACCAAAGTCTCACTGACAAGCACCAGCCAGAATTTGGATTCAGCCTGCTGACTGCCTGCACATTTTATCACCCAGTTTCACCAATCTGCTACCCCCCCTCCCCAGGTGATAATGTTGTCTAGGCTGGTCTCAAATTCCTGGGCTCAAGCAATCCTGCCACGTTAGTCTCCAGAGTAGCTGGAACTACAGGCACGTGCCACACACCTGGCTTGTTACCCTTTTTTCATTTCACACATATAAAGAGTTGTGAGTTGTCAGTGAGAACCAATTATTTTTTGCTCCTCTTTCAAGCTTCTTTCCCAATGTCTTTCTGAAGCCGAGCCTGCCCTGTATTAATTCTTTATGAACCAAACTGAGCACTGGCCCAGAGAGGCACGAATGTGGTAGGGGTGCTTTTCAGACCTGGGGGAAAGCTGCTTGGGAGGGGATCCATCCAGGAAAGCGAATGGGAGAGGGGAAAGGAGTGTTTTTAGGACCATCAGAAGACACCACAGGGGAATATCTGGGAGATCTTTGGCAATGAAATTAATTCAGGGAAGTCACTAGTCTGGGGTGCATGAAGCAGCCCTGGATAGACAGTACTCGAGCAGGGTGACATCCCCAAACTGCCAAATAGAGACACTAACCTCCTCCATGTACTCAGGCTCCGAGGCGGATGCGTCCCAGCGGTTGTTCAGGATGAAGATGTTTGGGCGGGAGAGACGCTCGCTCACTTTGTGGAAGAATTGCTTTTCCTAGATAAAGGGTAGGGCCTCAGCGGAGGAGGGGCTTGGCAGCCAAGGCCCACCTGCCGCCTGCCCCGGGGAGTGCTGGGAGCATGGGAGAAGGCAGAGGAGTTACCGTCTGCATCAGGGTGGACTCCGAGTTGGCCACCAGCACAAACACATCAGCGTCCAGGCAAAACTTGTCAATCCAGCTGTCCAGCTCTGTGGTGACATCAATACCAGGGCTAAAGGTGACAGGGGTAAACCAATATCATCAGGCCCAGAGCACGAGCCCTACTCTTCCTGCTGAGAACAGATCTGGGGTTCCCGAGGCAGCCAGGCGAGGGAGGGTCTTTACTTTCCATGTCATATCCTTCTGGATTGCCTGGAAAGGTGCCTTTCAAGCACATACAAGTATTACTTTTACAAAAACACAATGATTTGTAATTTTGCTTTGGGAATATACAATTAAGCTAAAGTTTTGTCGTTATGGGAGTCCAGGTAAACCCTGCAGTACTATATTTCTTGGTATAGTTACACCTGTCTGCAAAGTAGGAGCAAAGTGCTCCTTCAAGAGAGAGGAAATATACCGCTGACCCCACCACAGCTCCTGCTCCCAGTACACATGCCGGGGCTGAGGGTGAGAACTTCCTGTCTCTTACAGACCATCCCTGGGACTCCGCAGGGCAGTGATACCAACGGGTGCAGTAATCAGGCCCTAGAGGAAACCCAAGAGGTGGGAGGTCTAGGTTGGGCCCACCTGAAAGGCTGCAGTGCTTAAGCAGAGCAAGGACAGTGCCCAGGCTGCGCTGGCCTGGATTATCCAGAAATGGAAACCCAGTGCCACCCAGGTAGGACCTGCGAGGAGGGCACCTTCCCCCTTACCTGTCCATCAGCACGAGGTCATCTTTCAGAAGTGGGCACTTGGAGTTGGGCCACATCACACTCACTAGGCTGCCAGCATGCAGCTGCTCGTCCTGGTGGAGGGCATGGGCCAGCTGGTTCACGGTCTGATGGTGGAGGATGAAAAGGATTAGGCCGAGGAAGAGCCACTCAGCCAGGAAAGTTCCTGTGCTGCGTGGCCACAGCACAGTGGCCTGGGACTGCTGCCAACCTGCTACCCCTTCTCTTTCATTTCACATATAAAAAGTTAAGAGCTAGGAGCCGTCCATAAGGAGCAACTTTCTTTACTTCTCTTTGAAGCTTCTTTCCCAGATGTCGTCCTAAGCTGGGTCTGTTCTGCACTGATTAATTCCTTATGAGCCAGACTGAGCATCTGGCCCCAAACAAGAATGCAGCTGCCTCTCAGAAAAATCAAAGTGTCAGTCTCGGGCTGGTGTCAGAATCACAGAGCAAACGCAGGAATCCCTCTCTGGCAATATCCCAAGGAAGAACAGGGCACACACTCTCCTCCTTAATTAGTGAAGACAGAGTCAAATGGCCTGCTCAGAGGTACACAAGGAACTGTTAAGTCCGCATTCTTGGTGCTGCACGTTTCTGAGCCTCCCAAAAGCTCTCTCACATCCTCAAAAAAGCTTGTCTAGAACAAGGTTTCCCACATTCCACCACAGGGAGGCCCTGCCCTCTCCTTAGAGACAGGGTCAGCACTGTCACAGTGGACAACTTGTCCTGCCAGGTGCCCAGGGCTGAGAGCCAGGCCAGCACCCTCACCTTGACACTCCTCTTCTCCTCTGAGCCCTCAGTGAGGAGGAAGGCCTCATGGCCATCTGTGCCCTCCACCCGCAGGAAGCAATTGGTGGTGTGGCCAATCCCAGAGGGCAGAACTTTGTCCCAGAGCATGGCATTGATCACAGTACTCTTCCCATTGCTCGTCCTAGAAGGAAAAAACAGTGGTCAGTGAAGCCACGAATATCAGAAGTTTTGGCTTTCACAACGTAGTCTCCAGCCTGAATAGCCAAAGTCCTGTTCTCTGTATTGTCACCAGTGCCCAGACCGTGCTGAGAGAGGCACAGAGTAGGTGCTCTGTGTTTATTATATTAAAATAGGCAGACAGGCCAGGTGCAGTGGCTCACACCTGTAACTCTAGCACTCTGGGAGACTGAGGAAGGAGGATCCCTTGAGCTTAGGAGTTCCACATCAGTCTGAGCAAGAGCAAGACCCCATCTCTACTAAAAATAGAAAAAATTAGCCAGTTGTGATGGTGTGCACCTGCAATCCCAGCTGCTCGGGAGGCTGAGGCAGGAGGATTGCTTAAGCCCAGGAGTTTTGAGGTTGCTATGAGTTAGGCTGATCCCACGGCACTCTAGCCCAGATGACAGAGCAAGACTCTGTCTCAAAAAATAAAATAGACAAACATCCCTGGCCCTGAGCCTGTGACGTGTCCCTGGTTCATCACTTCAGATCAACGTGCAAGGGGCCCACGCAGTGTGCTGCCTGCCCCGTAAGTAATGCAGATGCCTCTCAGCACATCTCTCAGCATCACTTACAGAGACTGCCTATCTCCAAAGGATAACCCAGGCCCTAGGGTATCTTCATCAGCCTAAATGGCCTCCGTTATGACCCAGTGTTTTGCACACAGAGCCTGTCTTGCTTCTCTTTTCCCACTTCGTCAGTCTAGCTGGTCACTGCCAGCTGAAGGGAAGACCACCTTAGCGCTCTGACCCATCATACCCCTTTTCTCTGTTCTGCTTCTTAGAAACAGCTCTGCTCTGCAGACACATCTGCTCTGGGCTTCAGAGCTTTCGATCTGTGCTAAACACAGTCCTTATTCCTTCGGAGTTGGAACTTCCCAGCCACATCCCTCAAGCCAGAGCCACAAAGGCTTTACCTGCATCCAGTGAGACAGGCAGCCTGCCAGCTCACCTGAGTGACGGCCACACCCCACAGGGGAGGATGAAGAAGTGACAGCCCAGAGGAATGGAGGGCCACAACACAGGCCATCAGGGACAGGACTCTGGGCACAGTGCCTATTCCCCAGGCTACCACTGTGTGCCTAGTACCCAGTCTGTCTAGATGCCTTTTTTAAACCCTGTATTGGATTTTGATTTTTTTTAAAGGTATCTACTAGACCTTGAAGTATAACAAGTAGGAGACCAAGTAGTTAAAACTATAAAACTCTTAAAAGAAAACAGAGGAGAAAAGCTTCATGATAATGGATTTGGCAATTATATTTTAGATATGATACCAAAAGTATAGGCAAAAAATATATATAAATAGACAAATTGGGCTATATCAAAATAAAAACTTCTGTGCATCAAAGGAGATAATCAATAAAGTGGAAAGACAACCTAGGGAATGGAAGAAAATACTTACAAATCATGTATCTGATAAGGGATCAATACACAGAATATGTTTAAAAACTCCTACAACTCAGTAACAAAAACTCAAACAACCCAATTAAATAACAGGAGAAGGATTTGAATATACATTTCTCTAAAGAAGATATACAAATGGCCAAAAATACATCAAAAGATGCTCTATATCATTAATCATTAACCACAATGAGATATCACCTCATACCCACCACTGTCAAAAAAAATAAGTGTTGGCAAGGATGTGGAGAAATTGGAATCCTTGTGCATTGCTGGTGGGAATGTACAATGATGCAGCTGTTATGGAAAACAACACAGTGGTTCCTCAAACAATTAAAAATAGAAGGGACTTGAAGAGATATCTGTACTCCCATGTTCATAGCAGCCAAAAGAGAGAGGCACGTAATGTCCATTGAAGGATGAACGCATAAACAAAACGTGGTACACACACACAATGGAATATTGCTTAACCTTCAAAAGGAAGGAAATTCTGACACATGCTACCATATGGATGAACTTTGAGGACAGTATACGAAGTGAAATAAGCCAGTCACAAAAACACAAATACTGTATGATTCCACTTACGTGAGGTACCTAGAGAGTCAAATTCACAGAGACAGACGGTAGAAAGGTGGTTGCCAGGGGTTGGGGCAAGGGAGGATAAGGAATTACTGTTTAATGGGTATGAGTTTTAATCCTGCAGGATGAAAAAGCTCTGGAGACTGGTTGCACAATAATGTGAATATACTTACTACTGAACTATACACTTAATAATGGTTAAGATGGTAAATTTTACATTACGTGTATTTCACTGCAATTAAAAAATAAAAAGAATGACGAACACTGAAGCATGTCTGCTGCTTCCTGCCTTGGGGCTCTGCTGTGACCATGCACAAAGTGTCCCCTCCCTCCCCAGCCTGGAAGGAAGGTGTGAGGGCTTCAAGGACTCACCGGCCAAAAAAAGCCACTTTCATGTGCCGCCGGGCCAGCACCTCGCTGATGCCCCTCACTTTGGATAGGTAACCTTTGACGTCCAGAACCTGTTCTTCTGTCGTTACGGGGTCCAGTTCTGCATTCCTATAGGTGTCTGGAGGCGGGGATTGAAAATGGGTCACCATGTGGTCAGAGGCGTTCCGGCTTTGCCCACCGGAATCCCAAGTCCACCTCTGTGGCTCCCTGCTGTGTCAGGCTGAAGTTCCAGATCCCTACCATGGCCTCAGAGCAAGACTGCCTGGGTTCTCACACTGGTTCTTACCACTTTCTCGCTGTGAACTCAGGCAAATGCACCTTTCTAGGTCTTAGTCTCCTTGGCCATAAAATGGAGATAGCAACGGTATGTACTTTACGTGACCGTTGTGAGGATCAAATGTATTAAATCACAAAAGGCTAAGAGTGGTGGCTGACAGAAGATGAATACCTGAATGTTAATTGCCATCCTTTACTTATGTGTATTTTCCTAACAAATATTCACAAAGTTCTCACTACATGCCAGGCACTCAGTTCTAGTCACTTTTCAAACACAGCCTCTCATCTAATCCTTGTTGTTTACATGGTAGAGTTAGTAAATGGCAGGGCCGGGATCTGAACCAGACAGCCTGGCTCCAGAGTTTGAGATTTTGACCACTCTATATCTTTTCACGAGGCATTTCCTAACCCGGCGCTACTGGCCTGGCCAGTCTAGCCTCTTGCCACCCCCCTGCCTCACACGCCACCTCACCATATCCCCACATTCACCAGCTTCCTAGCCCTCCAGCTTGGCTCACTGCTGCCCAAACCCCTCCCTCACCCTCTGCCACACTGCGTGGAGCGGTCTGGCTCATTCCCACTTGGCCTTGGGTCTAGCTTAGACAGCACCGTCCCCAGGAAGCCTTGCCTGGCCATGACCCCCAACCTGAGTTGGGTCCGCCCTGTCTGTGCACCCACAGCACCCTGCATTTCCCCCATCTTAGCACTCATCTGCATCATCTCCCCGTGAGGGCCAAACTATCTGCTCTCAGCACCCGGAAGGTGCACAAATGTTTGCTAAATAACAGACACTTTGATCACTGCATTGCCTTTTCCCAGTGCCCTTGACAGGCAGGTGGCCAACAAACTATTAGTGCCTCCATCCCTTCTAGGACGTGTACCCGGTGGGTTCCTCAGCTGGCTGGGGAGCAGATGGGTGTTTGGTCCCTCAGCATACTCTTGGGAACCACCAGGATGAAAGGCCCCAAGCCTGAGAACACTCCCAAAGCATCTGGAGCATGACAAGTGGCATGTCTAAGCCTGCCCCGTGCCATGAAAGGAAGTGAAGGAGCCAACAAGCCCCCATCCCCCACCCCACCACCATGTCCACCATCAATCCAGATCCATCAACATTTGTCCCTTATATGGTCACTTGGGCATGGCCTTTGGAATGCCCCTCAGAGGAAACTGGCTCCCAAGCAAGTGGCTACATTTAAAAGCAACAGCCAGCAAGCCGACAACTCTCGTTACCTGCCTTTTAGAGAACAGTCCCTAGGCAGGAACCATCCTCTCCCAAACCCCGAGGGATCCCAAACACAGCTCAGGATCACTCTAGCTCTTTCCCTTCCATTTAGCCAATAGGGAAGGCTTCTAGTTTTCATGCAGAGGGAAGTCAAAACACGCATCACATCAACACCATCATTAAGCACATGTCTGTTCACAGCATCATCTAAGTGACTCAGAGCATCACAGAGGGTTAGTCTGGGCTCTGGGAAGACAGCAGCCTGGTCTGCCCCATCTCTACCTGCCCAGCACCTGGCACAGGGCCAGCATACCACAGCTACTGCTGAATAAACAGGTAACAAATTGGGATAATTTCACCCACTAACCATATGACTTTAAAATTCAGATTTTTTTAGTTTACCAAATATTTAGGGCATATCTTCTCTCTCATCAAGTATCATGTAAAGGACAGGGGAACAAAATTGGGCATAATCCCTTTCTTTAAAGGCAACTTCATGTAGCAGCTTGGCAAATAACACAACTGTTATTTGATGCAGCTGTTAGGGGAAACAACACAGTGGTTCCTCAAAAAATTAAAAACAGAATTACCATACAATCCAGCAATTCCACTTCTGTGTCTATGCAAAAGAACTGAAAGCAGGGACTTGAAGAGATATCTGTACTCCCGTGTTCATAGCAGCATTATTCACTACAGTCAAAAGGTGGAGACAACCGAGATGCCAAGCTGCTCTAGCCAAAAGCTGAACAGAGAGAAGGTGGCCCATTCGGGCCAGGGGTCAGCCCCTGAGCACCACTACTGAACTTCTAGGGTTCTGCAGACTAGAATCTGCAAACCTCTGTTCTCACCTGAGCCCCCCTTCACAAATGAGGAAACCAAGGGCAGAGCAACTCAGCTACTGGGTCTTTGCAGACAATCTCAGGAACTGGTGCCCTTCTAAAGAGGGGGCCCAAGGCAGCCAGTGCTAGAGCTGGCACCCAGACTCATGGAGCCCTGGAAACCAGCCCTTCTCTACTGGTAGAGCAGGGACTAGAAGTTGGGCTCAAATTAGTAAGTAGTAGAAAAGGCACAGGTGACAAGCATTTCCTATTCATAGTCCTATTGCTGATCTAAAAATACCAGAGGGCACCTTGGTCAGGGACAAGCAACATCCAGGCAGTGCCTCATATGAACAGCAGCCAGAACTGGGCCAAGGAAAACACATGAACTCTGGAGTTGGAGACACCTGGGTAAAGCCCTGCTCTGTCACTTACAAGGTATCAGACAACTCTCAAACCTTAATCTGCTTACCTTTTAGATGGGGTAAGATTCACCTACCCTCCCCCGCCATGATTAAATGAAACAAAATGCGTGGACCTCTTGAATGGTAGCTCTTTGTCTTCCTGGCCTAATCTCCCCAGACCCCAGTTCCACATGATTTCAAGAGCAGAGGTTGCTGAGGCCATCTGGGCATGAGTTCCCCCAGAGCAGAGCTGTCCTCCTCACCCCTTACCAAATCCTGCTGCTTAAATATCTAAATAGTTAAGAGTGGGCCTGGCTGAGCAGGTGCTAGTCTCACCTTCAAGAAAGGTGGCACTCTCCTGGATGTAGGCGCCAAGCTGCTCAAAAATGCCATTGATCTTCTTCTTGGCAGTGACAAAATGCTTGAGGGGGGAAGCATTCACCTCAGCCATGTGTCTCTTGTCCTTCTTGACTGTGGCAATGGAGTTGCATCGAGAAAAGAGCAGGGACATCGCGCTGCAAGAGAAGCCAGTGTGAGTGAACCTAGGGACATCCACCTTGGGACGTTCTGCTCGGGGTCCAGCAGGTGTGGTGGGGAGAACTGGGACCAGCTCTAGGTTCCACCAAAAATAGGGGGCCCTCCATGACTAGATCAAAGGATGGCAAGAGAAGAACCAGCGTCTCGAGAGTAGGAAGGGACCTCTCAGGACACTTTGGCCAGTCTCCCTGTCACACAGCATGCGCGGTGAGATGCCTGGAGCCAGGGCCCTGAGTTCAGCCCTAGTGCTGGCAGTTCTCTGCCAGATGAGCAGTGATGGACTCTGCCACCCCCACCTGAGAGAGACAGGGAGGAACTGGAGGTAACACACAGAGCCTCCTCTGAGCTTTAGAAAAGCGTGACAGAAACCTGGCTTATTTCCTACACATAATACCCTAAGAAAAAGCACTGAACAAAAAGCAAAGAGATGCTCAAGGTCAGTGACTCCCACCCCTTTCCCTGGTCACGCTGCTGTCTCAGAACCCAATGGCCCTAATTCCTAACAGGGTCTGTTTTTTAGGGGGAGTGGAGAGGAAGGGTGATTGTCAAGTAAGAGACATCTACTTCTATGGTTTATTTCCCTTTATGTCCACTGTAGAAAATTAGGAAACTAAAGGGAATAAATCCATAACCCTGCCATTTTGTGATAAGCATTGTTGACATCTTGTCTATTGGCACATTCTATTTTTGTGTGGCTAGCTCTCTCGCTCAATTGCACACGTCTTTGTAGCCTATTTTTTCACAGAGCAATAACATTTCAGGGGCCATGAGACTTGACTCCAAAGTCCTAGAAGTGTTGAGGCAGACACACCAGAGAAGGTGGCACCCAAGTGTAGCTGGGAACTCCTGACCCCAAAAGTGGACCCCTGCCAGGTCCCTCCTCAGAGTTCCCACCATGGAGAGAGCTGTTTCCCCTAGCAGAGCACTCACACCCTAAGAAGTCAAAGGAAAAGGTCCCTCCAAGGAGGAGGGGAAGTGTGTCGGCAGCTGTGTGTGCTGGCTCTGTCACTCCCTCCCCAGCCACCCTAACCACAGGGCCATCAGCTCTCCCCTCAGCAGCACTTGACTCTCTTCAGCTGGGAAAGGAAGTGTTACTCGTGAGTGGGCACATGTGAGAAACTTCTAAGTGGGGCCAAAGGGTGTTGAGTGAGGTCCTGAGAAGCAGAAAGAATAGCTGGGAAAAGTGCATGAAGACGTAAGGCCAAAACTGGCTCTTAGGAACTAACCATCCCAACCAGTGGGTAGGAAGGCAGGCCCAGGGAGATGGGAACCCACGTGTTGCCCAAATCTACAAATTCTGTTGCAATGTTAATGATTCCTGTAAAGACAAGGGAAGGAAGTGACCCTGCTTCTGTTTCTATGTCCTCCTCCGCATAATGCCACGACGATCAGAGATGTTTTCTTAGCATGAAAGCCACATGTCAAGGACTTAAATAAGGACAGCAGAGGTTGAAGAAAGCAAATTGGAAAGAAAATGACAACTCTGACTCCACCAACACAGCAAAGAAGAGTGCACTGAAATCAGGCTTGCTGTGTCCAGCGAGTAAGACTCTTAGAGAAATAGGGAATGTGGGCAGGCAGAAGAGGAGGAAAAACCACCCAAAAGGAAAAGAAAGAGGTCTGGGATGGAGCGGTGCACACAATAGTTGCTGGAATCGTGCTCAGCTGGGTTCCCATTGTGACTGTACTATTCCTGGACTGTTTAAACTTAAGCAAGTTATTTAATCTCAAAATGATGGTTTCTTCATGTGTACAACAAACAAGATACGACGTGAACTGTGAGAAGACTAAAAATGATGATATAAGCAACATGCTTAGCACACAGTAAGAGCTCAAAGGTAGCTCTACATGTTATAAAGCAATAATACTAATAAGCTCTGCCAGCAAGATCACAAGACTCTCCCCATGAACACTCAGCCTTCAGGAAGGGCAGAGGCAACTCTGCCAACACACCCCACTGCTCCCTCACCAGCTGCCATGGAGATCAAATAAACAGGTCTGCTGGGGGAGGACAGCAGTACCCAGCCCCAGAAGTGACTTGCTGGCAGGAAACAAGCTCCTCGATATCAGCTGTGCTTTTTGAAACAGATGCTTTGAAATTCTGGTCATCATTTGAAAGCCCAAAGTCTATGAAACCAAAAGTGTTAGTGTTCAGTAAGTGCAAGATTCAAAGGCATGCACACTAGTAGAAGCCTAGTGGTTTTAGGTTACAAAGTCTGCCGGGAGTTCAGCTAATCTGGGAGCTGCCCTGCTTTTACCATCACCGAGCCTGCAGCTGATGCCTCAAACCCCTCACCTGAAACCCACTGCAAACCCCTCTAAACTCTGCATGATTTCTCTGGCTCTGCTAATTTGCAAGCTAAGATTACACGTTTGTGTTGCATGTGCTGCTTTCTGCTCTGGAATCCTCTTTCCTTTTTCACCCACTTGGCATACTCCTACTGTCCTTCTAGACCCACGTGTCACCCCCTCCATGAAGCCTTCCCTGACATCTTCACAGAGGATATGTAACCTAGCAGGCTTTTGTTTGTTTGTTTTGAGAGAGTCTTGCTCTGTCGCCCCAGGTGGAATGCAGTGGCATCATCATAGCTCACCGCAACCTCAGACTCCTGGGCTCAAGTGATCCCCAGCCTCCCAAGTAGCTGGGACTACAGGCATGCACCACCATGCCCAGCTAATTTTTTTCTATTTTTAGTAGAGACAGGGTCTCACTCTTGCTCAGACTGGTCTCAAACTCCTGAGCTCAAGCAATCCTCTGGCCCTGGCCTCCCAGAGAGCTAGGATTATAGGCATGAGCCACTACACCCAGCCTCAGGCTTTTGGTTTTTTGTCACACCCTGTGTGTGACAGCCTAGGGGTGAGCTTCTTCTAGAGAGCCAGTCTCTGAAACAAAGCAATTATCTTTTTCATTTCTACCCTCCTTCCCAAGAACTGTGAGAGATATGGAAGAAGTGAATACCCCCTAGGAGGGGTGTACCATCTCATACCTTCCATCCCTGGATTCACAAATCTACTTTCTTCTTAAAAAACAGCTTTCTTGCCAGGTGTGGTGACTCACACCTACAATCCCAGCACTATGGGAGGCAGAGGCAGGAGGATTACTTGAGCACAGGAGATTGAGACCAGACTGGACAATCTAGTGAGACCGCATTTCTATTCCCCACCAAAAGCAGCTTTAAGTTAAGCATTTAAGTGTATGTTTCTTAGTATTTGAAGCTCAGTCAAGAGAGTTGAACAAACTTTTCAGATTCTGAAATATAATCCTTCTCAACAGCAAATTGGACACATGTATGTGCACAAAAGGACCAAAATTGCAAAATACATGCACAAAAGCCATGAAAGGGCAAACATTATCTTGGGGCTTTGACTGCTGGCTCCCTATGCTTCCAAAAAGGTGGGAGGCAGCTGGGTTCCTGTTCCTCCTCTGGAAAGTCCTGATAATTTTACTTCACCACAGGCATGTGCAGCTCATCCCCCAAGCATAGCTGGGTCCATGAGTCCAACTCCAATATTAGTTACACTCTAAGTAGCACACTTTGAACTTCTGTGACCGCCTAAAAACATGGTTTTCAGGCCAGGCACGGTGGCTCACACCTGTAATCCTAGCACTCTGGGAGGCCAAGGCGGGAGGATCACTCAAGGTCAGGAGTTTGAAACCAGACTAAGCAAGAGCAAGACCCCGGCTGTACTAAAAATAGAAAGAAATTAATTGGCCAACTAAAAATATAAAAGGTTTGGAAGGCCTGTTGTCAAGACACCAGCTTAACTGTATTTAATGTAGCACTTCACAAATTTATTCAATGAAGAAAACCTTCTGTGTAATAAATAGCCTTTAAAATCCCAAAGATCACACTTTAGGGAAAGGCTCATTTATCCTGGTATCTCCCAGTCCCATCCCAAAAAAGTGCCAGGGCCACAGTATTAACAGATATTAGCAGAAGAACGGAAACAATCCCAATTCTAAATGGAACTGCTATTAGCACTCCACGGTGATCAAAAGCTTTGCCTCAACCTAGGCTATTAGTTGAGGAGTATTATGTATCTTGGGTGTAGGGACAGCAGTAGCAAAATTCACTGCAAGATGTGTTTGGATCCCAAGCACAGTCCCTGAATCCACACCACCTCCTTACCCAGTTTTACGTACAGCAACTCCTAGCAGGGAAAATAAAATGGATCCGTGGATCGTCTGCTGGCACAACTGGAACAGAGAAGCTGAGAAATCGAAACAAAAGAGCATACAGGGTAAAGGAAACAGAGTAGACTCTTAGAAGAGTTGTGATAAAGAGCCAACTTCTGCTGAGCAGGAAGGGGGAGAAGAGCTAGCACAGCAGAGAAGACCAAACAAGGGAGATAGAGACTAACTCTTCTGGGAGCCCAGGAGATTCCACTTTCTTTTCTTTTTTTAAATTTTATTTCTAGCTGTAAAAGTGTGTGAAGATCCCAGCCACTTTCTGAGCAGTCAACCTTTAAACAGGTTCTCTCAGCAACCAACAAAATCTTCCACAGAAGTAGAAAGGAGATACAGTAGTTTTTTTTCAACACAGGTTGGAAAGCTCTGGCTCTATACAAAGAGGACCCCATCCAAGAGACTTGCCACCAGAGGGCCAGAAGAACACACCCCTTTCCACTCAACCCAGAGCCAGGGCACCAGAAGTCACAGCTACCACTTACTTTTTTGGATGATGAGAGATCTTCACAGGGTGGACATCACAGACATGGCTGGAGTCAAAAAGATGAAAAGATTTTGAGTTCTTCTCTCTGTCCTGTCTCAAGTTGAAGTTGACTACAGATTGTGCTGACTCCACCAGTCCTGACTTACTGGAAAAGAAAAGGGGGATGGCATCAGGTGGCAAAAAAACACTGGTGTGCAAAACATGTCTAATCGGGTTTTTAAAGCCAAACTCATGCCTGAGGAAGATTACTCACTGGGCTGGCATGTAAGGAAGTGCCCTGGGAAAAACAACACAGACGTATGGGGCCAATCATGGGTGTGCACAAACATGTGTTCAGCCATGTGCTGGTGCAAGGCACCAGGGTTCCTGCAGGGGCCCTGGTAAAGGTACATCCAGAGAGAGGAAGAGGGGAGGGAGCAGAACCAGGACAAAGCTGACTAGAAATGGGAAGAGTGGGAGTGAGGAAGAGAAGTGGAACTCATTGAAAGCCAATGTGTTCCAGCTGCTGTAAAGTATCTCACTTAATTCTCAATTCTATAGAGGGGTAAACAGAGCCTTGGGATACTTGGAAGATGTATTGATTGCTAGTCAAGTAGCCAAACTGGGAATTGAGATATCAGCTCCCTTTGACTCCACAGCTCACTTGTGTTTAATTACATGGAGCTGCCCTCCAACCCTCACACCCCCTTGGAGGCGGGTAGGGGATAATCAGAGCCCTTTACTGGGAGAAGGGAAAGAGAGATGATTGAGAATTTGAAGAAACAGGGCACGAGGGGGGACAGCCAGCTCTGCCTTCATGCATCCAAACAGCTATTTATTCAGCATTTTTTGCGTGCCTTCTGTATGTGCGTGTTCGGCGCCAGGGTCAGGAATGGATATGAAGTAGTCCCTGCCCTCAACGGCCTTACAATACGGCTTGAAGTCATACAAGTTAGACAGCGAAACGAGAGCACAAAAAGCTCCCAAAGTGGGGAAGGGCAAGGCACTCCCGCGATGAAGGTGGGCACCTACCATGTGCTGAGTAAATGTTGGCAAAATGATGAAAAATGGAGACAGGCAGGGTGGAAAGTGATGGTGAAAGGTGGAAAGGCTGGTGCGAAGAGAAGCTTCAGGGGCCTCCACCTCCAGTCCCAGGTCCCGCGACCCGCCCCCTCCTCAGGGCCGCGGAGGGACCGGCCGCGAGGCGGGAAAATGGAGACACCTGCCCGACCGGATCCCGAACCCCCAGCACCCCAGCGTCCCACCGGCCCACGCCAGGATGCTCAGGGTTCGCCAGGCTGGGCTGGGCCGGACCACGCCACCCCGGTGCGCTCGCCCTCTCACCTTCACCTTCCCGGCCTCGCGGCGGCCATCACTCACAACGTCACCAACAAGCGCCACTCCAGGGAGAGGGGCGGGGAATCCGCGCGTCACCACCCGCCGCAGGTTTGCAGGTCTGCTTGAGTGAGCCGGTAGACTCTGAGCTCAGCCGGCTCCACCCGACTGCTCCTTAGGTCTCGGAGGTCCCGCGACTCTGCGCTTTGAGAGGTGCCTCAGCGCGCCACTTCACCGCCGGGGCGTCGCAAGCCGATTGCGTAGGGCCTCGGCACTCCCGTTGCATCATGGGGGCTGTAGTCCCAGCCGGCGCCCGCCCGGCTAGGAAGGGTGGGGCGGGGCGGGGCGGGGCGGGGCCTCCAGCTGTCAAGGGGTGAAATAACAAGGGCGTGGATTAGAGGTTCTCACTCTTGCGCTTGTTGCCCCAGAGCCTGACCCCACGGCCTCTGGCAGCTCTGGAATCCAGACTTGCATTTTGTAATCTTAGAGAAGCGCTCTCAAGAGGACCAGGCTGCGAGGGTGAAGTGACTCACCCAGGGAGACAGAAGCAACCTTGGGCCGCTGCCCTTCAGTTGCCTTTGAGGAAGTAAGAACAGCAACAAACGCGACGTATCAGGCTCCTACTACGTGCCAGTCACTGAACTGGGTACCTAACATACGTCGTTTTTCTCTAATCTTCACGACAGTGCTAGGAGGCTGGAGGGGAGGCTGCACAAGCTCAGATGTCAGATCACTGGGCCCCTCATTGTGTTCCTAACTAGCACGCAGCAGTAAACAGGGCCCTGGAAGGACTCAGTCCTACGCAGGGAAGGCTCCAAGCCCCAGCTCTCCCAAATGGAGAGGAGAGGTAGCCATATGTGGCCACCAGCCACACATGGTTATTGAACCTCTGAGATAATGCAAATTGCTGTAAGACTTAGTACAAAGAAAGGATATAAACCACCTCACTAATATTTGTACATTGATTATGTGTTGAAGTGATTATACTTTAGATAATTTGAGTTAAATAAAATATATTACTAAAATTAATTACACCTGTTTCTTTTTACTTTTAAAAAACGGTGGCTGCTAGAAAATTTAAAATTACATAAGTGGCCGACATCTGTGGCTCGATTTCTACTGGGCAGCACTGCTCTATAACGATGGCAGAATCCTGCCACAAACAACCTCAAGAGGCAAATCAGTACTGTGGTGACTGACCAGCTTATCAGTCTTCTGTGAGGAAGGTCAGAGGAAGATGTCCCACCCTCACTGCCCTTCTGTCCTGAGAGTCAGACTGGGGACTGTGGGGCCGCACCCAGCTCCTGCCTCAGGGTGTGGATTGGCCTGTCTGGAATGGCATGCAACGAGCTGTTACTAGCAGCTTTGTACTGTTGCTATCTGATTGTTTCCTTCCCAAGCGGACCATCAATTCTTTGCAGACAGGAATTATGAATTCCATTTCCTTTCCCTTCTTGGGCAGAATCTTGCCTAAGCCAGGTGGAGGTCTGGCTGTTCTCCCTACCAAACATCTCTACTGCCCATTCCCTCTGCTTCACTAAACCTCCCTTTGAGAATTGGCTCTGGCCCTGGTCACTTGCCTGGACTGCTGCAGGGGCCTTATAATCCATTCTCAGGCTCCTAGGCTTTCTCTCTGAAACACAACCTCAAATGGGAGGCCCTTGTATCAACCCCCTCAATGACAAGACTTCCTCAGCACTGTGGACAATGTTCCTGGGAAGGGGTGCAGGGCGGGGTTGGGGTGCAATTGCAGGTGACCTTTTCTCTTACATTACCAATTCCTATTTTGATTGACTTTCTCATGGTGGACATGAATTGAATTTGCAATCAGAAAAAGGAAACCCAAGAGACACACACACACACACACACACACACACACACACACACACACACACTTGTGTATGCACAGACTTGCTCAAGAAGATCATCCAAGAAACTGATTAGCCACATTGGTTTCCGGAGAGAGGAACTGGGTGGCCAAAGATAAGGGAGAGAACAGCTGGTCAGAAGGTAATGAGTTATCTCACTTGATTGTTCACAGTTACAGACTGAACTCCTTGTTCTACTCTTTCCCCCTTCTCACTACTGCACTTCACTGGTCTTAAAAAATTTTTTTTTGTGCTGTTTGAGTTCATTTTGAAAATTAAAAACCTTAAAAATCTTTAAAAGACTTACACACAACCTTTGAATGACTCTAAGTCACCCAGTCACCCCCTGGATGAAGTCCAAACTCTCCTTGGCCTGGGAAAATAGACCTTTAAATAGACTCCCCCCACCCCCACTCCAGCCACCCTGCATTCTCTGGACCTGGAGCTTCGCTCTGCGCTCTGCGTGTTGGAAACCCCCTCCCCCTCCAAGGCCCAGCTTAGATGGCATTGGGTATCAGACTTCCTCAGCCTCAGCACGACTGGCATTTGGGTTTTGATAATTATTTTTTTGTGGGGGCGGGGAGGCCACCCTGTGTACTATAGGATGCTCAGGAACATCCCAGGCCTCTATCCATTAGATGCCAGTGGCTTCCCCATTCCTTCTTCAATTTCAACAACCAAAAATGCCTTCAGACATTGCCAAATATTCTCTGGGGAGCAAAACCGCCCTCATGTGAGGGGCACTGTGTACCAGAAGCCGCTGGTCCCACCAGCACTCACCCCACCTTGTTCTTGCAGCCACCAGGGGATTTATCACATAGTCCATGGAGAATGTTTGGATTTTTCTGTCCCCATTGCTAACTCCAAGTGCTTTGGGGGCAGGGATCAGATTTCTTCCATGGCTGAAAACATTCAATTCACTGTCCCTACCACTTGCTTGCTGTGTGCCCTTAGATCAATTAGTTGGTCTCTCTGAGCCTCCATTTCCTCAGCTGTAAAAAGGAAATAACAGCCCCTACCCTAGACGGCTGTGTGCTGAGTGCCCGGGATGCACCGGGCCCAGCCCAGAGCAAGGGATGGAGAGACGTTAACTCTTACAAAGTGTGACAAGTGTTCCTGGAAGAGTCTGTCCAGGGTATGGCAGGGGACACCAGAAATACCAGAAGCTCTCCCATGTGCACATTTGCAGGAAGGGTGGTCAGCAAAGGTTTCCGAGACCTGACACAGGTCTCGAAAGATGAAGAAGCATGCCCAGGCCGCCAGTGCCTGGCTCACACCGAGGGTTTATGAAATATACAGATGACACGGAGATCACATGGGACTGGGTTTAGGAAACAGAAGTAAGTCACTGTGTCTGCTGACACGGCCTTTCTTACCAGTCATGGGCTCTTAAAACCTCTCCCTGCAGACACTCACCCAGACACATGTACACTCACCCACCCAAAGCATCGAACCCACTAAATGGTTTGAATGACCTTTAATAAAAACTCTCCTATTTCTCCCTGTCTCTCTTTCCGGAAGCATCCAAGGCAAGGCGACCCAGTGCAGTGTGGACACGTCACTCCCCTCCTCCCCAGCAAGTGGAGGATTGAGCTGTGGCATAATGCGATGCCTTTTCTGTCTCCCGGGATGTTTTCTGAGTCACTGTCTCCAGAAGACGACAGCTTATTCTCATGATGAGAGCCACGAAGGAAGGTGCTTCAGCGGTCCCAGGCTCAGGGTGGGAACCTCAGTCTGATCCAGGTCTCTTTCCTCCAATCTTGGAGCGGAAGTCTCTGAGGCTGCAGTTCTGCTCTGGAGAAGCTCTGGGGCGTGGCTCCTCGTCCCGAGAGTCTCTCTGGGCAGCTCGATAGTCCCTGTTCTGCTCAAGTGTCATCCCATAGAAGAGGAGGAAAAAGGACTCCGTTTTTCAGGAACATGGGTGGGGAGGACGAGTCACTACAAAGCAGTGAAAGTGGACAGCGTCTCCAGGGGTGGGTCCAGAGCACCACTGAAGGCCCCAGCCCGGAGGTGAGCTCAGCCTCTGGCCTGTGCAAATCTCTCTGACTGGCGGCTCCAAGCGCAGTGGGAAGTCGAGAGCCTGGAGGCTGGACCGGGGTGCCTGGGACCTCGAGGCCCCAGAGGCTGCTGGGCAGTGGTTGTCGCAAAGAGGAACAGTCCGATGGGGCTGGGGCTGGCCAACTAGGGATCGACGAAGGAGACGGCGATGTAGCGGGTGCCCTTGGTGGTGGGGAGCCCCTCGTGGTAATGCGTGAGTCGCCCGGGGTGCATGAGGGTCCAGCCCTTCCTCGGGGCTCGGACGGAGCAGTTGTAGCGCAGGAACCGACAGCCCCCACCCTGGGAAACAATAGCCAGCGTCAGTTCCTCCACCGCCCGTCTGTTCTCCTGTCACAGCCACTCGGCCCTCAGCTCAGCTGGCCTGAGGACGCCTCGTGGAGTGACAGAATGACAGCCATAAGCTGCCCCGGGAAGATACTAAACAAAGAGTAGGTGAGGAAGAGCTCTGGCCTTGGAGTCAGGCAGCAATAGCCAAATGTCACCTCTACCTTTTACTAACTTTGTGACCAACCTGAGCCTCAGTTTCCCCTTCTGTAACACGGGGGTTAAACTGCACAGAGTTGTGAGAATTACATGAGATGGTACAAGTAAGAGCTGCGGGCTGAGTTTCTCCACCTCACCACTTTGTTGTGGGGGCCGCCTGGGTATCCCTGGCCTCTACCCACCCTCATAGTCGTGACAACCAAATACGTCTCCAGGCACTGCCAATGTCCCCTGGGGGGGGGGGCAGAAGTTGTTCCGAGATGAGAAATCTTGGCATAGGGCAAAGCTTGATATGCCATAAGCTTTCAAAAACTTCTAGCTATTTTTATGGATGTCCTTCTGAGTGCCTCGCCCAGGGCCAAGTCCAAAGAACTCTTAAAATAGCAGCTTACTTGGAGTGAATGAATGAATGGCTGGCTCCCTGCCGGTCACCCCAGGGGCCTCCCCAACCCCAGCACCGCCCTGTGTCTCCCTGGTTTCCCCAGACCTTCCTGCCAGCCACAGGCCGGTGCCCCAGGGAGGTAAGAACCGTGCCTGAGGCCACAGAGCTGGTGAGGGGCAGGCAGGATCCAGAGACCTCCCCAAGTGC